CAGTCATTGAACAATACAGTCATTAAACAATACAGTCATTGAACAATAAAGTTATTAAACAATAAAGTCATTGAACAATACAGTCATTGAACAATACAGTCATTAAACAATACAGTCATTGAACAATAAAGTTATTAAACAATAAAGTCATTGAACAATACAGTCATTAAACAATACAGTCATTAAACAATACAGTCATTGAAACAATACAGTCATTAATAATGTCATCAAACAATATAATCATCAACAATAGGGTCATTAAACAATACAGTCATTAAACAATACAGTCATTTAAAATGCAGTCATTAGACTATGTAATCATTACACAATACAGTCATTAAACAATACAGTCATTAAACAATATAGTCATTAAACAATACAGTCATTAAACAATACAGTCATTGAACAATACAGTCATTAAACAATACAGTCATTGAACAATAAAGTTATTAAACAATAAAGTCATTGAACAATACAGTCATTGAACAATACAGTCATTAAACAATACAGTCATTGAACAATAAAGTTATTAAACAATAAAGTCATTGAACAATACAGTCATTAAACAATACAGTCATTAAACAATACAGTCATGAAACAATACAGTCATTAGATAATAATGTCATCAAACAATATAATCATCAGCCAATAGGGTCATTAAATAATACAGTCATTAGACAATACAGTCATTTAAAAATGCAGTCATTAGACTATGTAATCATTACACAATACAGTCATTAAACAATACAGTCATTAAACAATATAGTCATTAAACAATACAGTCATTAAACAATACAGTCATTGAACAATACAGTCATTAAACAATACAGTCATTGAACAATAAAGTTATTAAACAATAAAGTCATTGAACAATACAGTCATTAAACAATACAGTCATTAGATAATAATGTCATCAAACAATATAATCATCAGCCAATAGGGTCATTAAATAATACAGTCATTAGACAATACAGTCATTTAAAAATGCAGTCATTAGACTATGTAATCATTAGACAATACGATCATCAAACAATAAAGTCATAAAAAAATCATCAGAAAATGTCATCAGACAATAAAATCATAAAACAATACAATCATCAGAAAATATAGTAATCAGACAATAATGTAATGAAACATAATAATCATAAGACAATGAGGTCATCGAACATCAGTGTTAACAAACAACATAATCAAGAGACAACCCATACTTCAGAGAACACAGACAGTTATTAGACCACAAATCTAATAGAGACACAAACATACAAACTAGAAAGTTATCTGATTAGAAATACCATAAAAAACAAGGCGACTAGAAATGTAATTTAAGAAAAAAAAGATTTAATCACTTTGGAGCCAAAACATAAACAAAGTTTGTCCATCTATTGCTGCAGCAACTAGTTTGAGTAAGTTTCGTGAGTTGATAAGATAAAATACAAAGCATTAATAGTTATAGTACCTTCTTCATTACATCGAGATGGGACTGCTTTTATCTATAGAGTACAATCTTTTTTCCATTAAAGACCAATTAAAGCCTGTCTCACTTGCCGCCTTTAGTAAGGCTGTATTCATAGAAAGTAAAACCCACTGTTGACCACCAACCACGTCGTGTATTTGCTCTTAATCGTCATGTATTTGCGCTTTAGCGTCGTGTATTTGCTCTTATGGATTGTGCAATATATATCCATATATGGAATACGTACTGTATGTACATATGGAATCTGGCGCCTTAAAACCAGACTGCTCATTAAAAAGGCTCTAATGAGGGCTGTCTATGTCGGAATCACATTTTTATACTTCCAGAGTGGATGTGTTGTGTGTTTCCTAGGCATGCTGATGAGCCCTGACATAGGGCGAAACAGTCCAAGACTGAAGGATATTTGAAAAATAAATTTAAACGGTTGTACGAGGCGTGACGTTCCATGTTATAGCTTCGTAAATAAAAACCAAAAAAAGCGTTTTCCGGGAGTTTAAGGCATTTAATTTTCAAAATTTTTGACGCTCGGCGCCAAACATGGTGGCGCCTCGTGGGCTGTGCATTAGCGTATGAGCATGACCTTGTTATCTCAACCAGCTTCGCCACTGCCCGTAGGCATCTATTAAGTTAGGCAACTATAAAAAGTATTCTTGCTACTTTTTCCAGAGCGGAAATGATATCGTAAGATGAAACATAAGAGCTGTGTTGTACTAAAAGATTGTCGTTATATATTTAGTCAGTGAAGCACTTGAACTGGCTATGAGCTGATATGAAGTGTGTAAATCTAATCTAATCTGTTAATTTGTGTTTTTCAATCTTATAACTTAAAGCAAAGAAATTTTGTAATATGTTTACTTTTGTTAATATAAATATAATGTTTTTCTTGTTCATTTTTACATCCAAAGAGAAAAAGCCAAAAACACAGCGACAGATACCTCGTATAGGTTGGTGTAGTCAAACAACGCACAATACAGGGTGTTTCAAAAAAAAAACTGAACAGATAGGAAAACGTCGCTAAAGTAATCACCTCGCAAGATCTGCAAAACCGTTAGTGGAAATAGTTAGATGGACTTCCAATGATTTATTTGTCAGTAAAATTTTTGCAAATAAAAACTATTTCTATAGTGAGAATTGTGTTACCGAGAAGAACTTTTGAAATAGCTTGTGCACGAAAATGACAAAGGTAAAAAGCCACTGCAACACACAGGGTTAGAATATGCACTTGTTGTTCAAGCTTACCAAACCGTGGGCAAACGCTAGACATCTAAGTTTCGAATTGTTTTGTAATTTTCGCGTAGGCATCTGCCAAATTTCCTGAAACTTTGTTACCTTGAACAACATGTGCCATATTTTGACCCTGTGTTTTAAATGCTTTTTAGCTGCATCATTTTCGTGTGCAATCCATTTAAAAGGGACTGTTTAATAACACAATTCTCCCTCTAAAAATGTTTATTAGTTGCAAAACTTTAAATATCAGATGAACGATTAGAAATCTAACTACCTATTTCCATCAAAGGTTTTTGTAAATCTAGCGCGCTAACGACTTTAGCGACGATTTCCTGATTATTCAGTTGTTTTTTTATGCACCCTGTAAAATTTGGTTGTTTTGTGGTGATAATGATTTAAATGTGTATCTATTTATGTAAAGATACAAGTGATATAATGATTTTTTGTATACTTTTGGCACTTAAAGTCATAATAGATTACGAAACATTTGATGATTTTAAAAAAGCGTGGCTTCAACAAAAAGTGGCGTGAAAGGTTACCCTAATGACGTAAGGTTATATTTATTCTACATACTCATAAATTGTTTATGTTGACATGTGATATAATTTCCAACATTCATATGAAGATAGAACATAACTGACATATGTGCACTATGTACAACTATGTATGTACAGTTTACATTTATGCAACTTGAATACAATTGTTACAAAAATGAAGTTGCAACTTGAATACAATTGATAGAAAAATGGAGTTGCAACTTGAATACAATTGATAGAAAAATGGAGTTGCAACTTGAATACAATTGATACAAAAATGACGTTACAACTTGAATACAATTGTTACAAAGATGAAGTTGCAACTTGAATACAATTGTTACAATAATGAAGTTGCAACTTGAATACAATTCATACAAAAATGACGTTGCAACTTGAATACAATTGATACAACAATGACGTTGCAACTTGAATACAATTGCTACAACAATGACGTTTTATTATGTACTTCCCCCTCACTTACAGCATTTCCATCACTAAATTATAATCTTTAAGTTATTAAGAACCAGATATCAAATAAGGCTAACCTGACGTTTACCCCTCATTTGACTCTGAAAATGACTACCGCTAAGGTTGTCGAAACGTTAGTCAACAACAATAAAAACAGTCCTTCTCACGACTATACTAACCTAGACGATCTACATTTACAAAGATTTAAAGATACTCCCCGCTCAAACCATTTACTTGATAAGACTTTTCTTAACTGCGATCTCCTAAAAGTGAAATTAAAAGATCACGTTCGAAGATTCCTGTTATACACGTCACTTTGCGTTTGTATTTATAAACACGCTAGTCTGTTATTGTTGACTATATGATTACTTTACATCATGACAACTAATAAGCAATAACATAAGTAAAGTACAACTTATTTAGGCGCAGTATTGTAAGTGTATTAATACTATTTGAGTATAGACTGAATGTGCATGCATGATTTCATTTGCTCGTAATAATAACTACCCTTGCAAAACATTGTGTCTCCAAGAAAGAGCTTTAATCTACTGGATCCCGAATCAACGAAAATAACTGGATACCTCCCTGCAACCTTCATTAGTACCTTCACCCATTTCATTTTTGTCACTGATGAAATGCTTTGTATCAAAACATTATTGGAATTTTTAGTTCCAGTCGTGTTATACAGATGAGAAAATTAGCATATTTCTGAACACAGTCATTATTCCTTTTATCATTGTTGTATAATTTTCCTTTAAATTGAAGAAATATCGTCACAATCATGGAAATGTATTGATAAATCACCAATGCACCTGAAAAACTCGGAAAAATGGAGGAATATTGACGCGAACATCCAACAAAGGTTATAAATGCTAATGATGTACTTGTAATTTTCTCGAAAGAGTTTTTGCTTTGCAAAGGAAGTGGGGGAACTTGTGTTTATGTTAGTGATGTTTATAACAATTTTAGAGCAGATTAGGTGAATAGAAGGATTGTGAAATATGGGCTTTCGTGGAATGAATGGGTCAGATTTATTCGAAATGTTTGCCAGCATTGGAGTGAATTTATGATAGACTTATGCATTTTGATAATTTACCATTAGTTTTTTTCTTCCTCAAACATATTTTAGGTTGATATTCAAAATTTTTAAAAAATTATTCAATATCTCCCTCTCCTTTAAAATACTAATATAAATAGTATACTAATTGAAAACATAGCATTTATTCCATAAAATGTAGTTCCTGCTGTGTTGTTTAGAAATGCTCACATGTTTAAAATATTATGTATGTATTTGATGAGATACAAAGCAAGTAGTTTTTGTTTTATTTATCTCTAGTCAGACGCACCAAAACCGGCAAAGAATTCAATCTTGTTGCAGCACTTAAAGAACGGGGAATTTTTCGTAAGTTTTGAAGATTTATTTGTTTTGTGTTCCTTTGAAAGTTAAACACTGATATGCGTTAAAATACAAGGTTAAATTTTTGAATTCTTTCGTTGCATACAATAACAATGTTACGTTAAGAAATTGCATTGCGTCAGAAGTTAAATTTCATTGCTAGGAGCGTGTCTTTTTACCTTGTTGGTTTGTTTCTCATTTTTCTGTGTATATAAATCCTTAGATTATATTTCTAACAGTGCAGGTTTTGAGCACGACACGGTAAAAGTTATATCTTGACGACGTGGTATGCCAGGTATACGATATACTTGACGAGAAGTGCCCACGCAAGCAAATTTTCTTATGAAAAAGAATATCCTGGGAAATATAAGTACTCAGAGTTTTAGCCTTAGAAGTATTTAATGCCGATCAAGCATCTAAATTAGCTTCATAAGAATTTTAAAAATCCGTTCTTAATTAGTTAGATTTGTTATTAACAAAACGCTTCTTTCTTTAATAAGTAAATTTAATTACCAAAAAATTTATTTCTAACTTTTAAAGATTCCAAAGTAAACATTCGATAAAGAGCTTTTGAAACTAGCTGCAAAGTTCGAACTCAATCATGAGAATTTGGAAGGTTTTGGTTACGTTTGTCTCCCCCCTGACACACGCACTCAAAAAAACTTTGCGTTGCCAACGAGTGGGAGATTCACTAGTTTTGCATATGTAGATAAATATTTTGAATTTTAAACTGTTTCGAAAATTGTTCATTACACACATTTCTTTAGATTCATACACAATACTTAATAAATACCTTCTATCTCCCCCCCAGCAAAGATCATGATTTCCTGCTGTGGTCTTTTGAAATTACCACATTTTCAAAATATCTTGATCTACCACAAAATTTAAAACAAGTATTTGTCATAGTTTAATGTTTATAATGCAATGGGACCAAAAATGCCAAAAAAATGAAAGTTTGTAAAACTGTCATAAACTCACGACAGGTAAAGATTGTCGTGGGGATTTGAAATAAAGTATTGTAATGCATTTTGGCTGTTTTATTTCCCCTTTATAGATGTATTAGGCCAGGTCTGTCTGTTTCTATAATAGGGTTGCTTAAAACTTTCATAAATATATTTTGTGAATGTTATTAATAAATAATAGAAAGTAAACCAAAATAAAGCTGTTAAGTTTTTATAACTTTCACATATGTTACAAATAAGAATTTTCTGATCACAATCTAATTACAGTCTAATTTCATACACAGTTAGTTGCTACATTTCTAAAACGGTCTCTTCATTTTCTGAGATCGATTTGCTTAACTGTATTGTATTCAGGCGTAGATTTTTGGTTTAAAGTTAAAAGCTGAAAGTCGTCAATGTTACCGTTTAATCAAACACGGCATATGAAGAAAAACAATAATAGTTATGTTTGAATAGTAAAACTGTTGTTCTTGCTGTAATGATTCGAAACATAAATAAGCTTAAATATTAAATTAACGTGAACAGAAATTTCAATAAAATTAAAATTATTATGTGATCGAAGATCGATGGCAACAAAACGCAATGACAACAAAATGAAGAACGAATGAAATTAAAAAAATGTTAAGACCTCTAAAAAATGTTCTTGAGCTTTAATTGCATCTTGTAAAGGGGGTGATTTATTCACGAATCTTGCAAGTACTCAAAATTTCCCATGAAATTTTTTTGATGCAATAGTTGATTGTTTTGTCTTTAGTTATACTGGATGACTATATTTGTCGTTTACAACTGACACAACAAAGAAAATTCATCTATTCACATCAAACCAATAACAGCCCGATCAATACATGGATATTCTTTACAAAATCTTTTCTTTCTTGAAATTTGGCTGGCGGTCAGGTTCAGTGAAGCATCACTTGGAAGAAGGGAATCGTTGTATGAATAATGGCGATTATGAGCAAGCAATTGAACACTATACACAATGTTTGAGACATCCAAGCAAGAATAGCGTCAAAATGATGGCACATTTTGGTGCTGGTAACGCTTGTGTCCTCTCTGATAAATGGGAGGATGGATTGAACTGTTTTGATGAATGCTTGAAGACTTCTTCAAAAGTGAAACGTGAATTTTTTCAACATCAAGTTTATCTTGGCCTGGGAAATACTGATTCTACCACTGAAAGAATCGTGGACGACCTGAAAAAAAATAAAATGGTCAGTCTTTGCCATATTGTATTGGGAGGATTGAACAAAAAGCTTGGAAATTATGAGAAATCTTTGGAGCATTATAGAAAAGGATTCTTTCTTATTGATTGTCAACACCAAGAAAATCAACAGGAACTAGAAAAAGAACCAAAGAAAGTTGATGGTATTAACGTTAGTAAAGATTTCATCGACCACAACATGAAGAACTTGTCAGTTATTACTTCAACTGAAATCATGAATGGAGTGTTAGTTGTTTATCGGGAATTAGCAGAATTGTTTGAAAAACTTAATAGATGGGACGAGGCGACTTGTATTTACAAAATATATCTGGAGGTGGCCACTGAAGATGATGATGTACAAGAACAAAGGAATGCTATGGTGTGTTTAATACGAATATACAGAAAGGATGAGCGTGATAACTTGAGGGAGTCAGTACAATTGAAATTACAAGAACTAGATAATAAAAAAAATAATGCAGGTACGAATGCAGGCGAGGGTAAGAGACAACTTTTGCTTTGGATTAACAATAAATTTAGGATTTTTTAAATACTGCATTATAATTGACATTAGAAGTTTAATGACTGGTAATTCAAGCATGTTTCATTCTAGAAAAGTAAAGGTTTTTCAGGATATTTGAAAATTTATTCTATTGAGCTTTCGACTCGGTTCTAATGAAGGCTCGAAGAACGCTCAATAAAATAAATTTTCAAAAATCCGGAGAAACCTTTACTTTTCTACAATTCACATTATATGTACATAGTCGTTCGTTACCTAAATATATGATGTGGATTTGCCAGTGCCAAAGCTTTGTTAAGCCAGTCTGGAGACATGATGTATTATATCTAATAATTTTAGTTATCAGCTATATCCTCCACTCTTGCCAGGATTTGTTTCCTCGAACGAGTGGTTTATGATTTAACAATTACTACACGGTTTTACCGTTACGGCAGTTGAACCATCACTGGCGTATAACAATTAACATAAATTCAGGGTTAGGAGCTTAAGCATTCTACCAAGAATATACTTATGATAGCTAGTTTTAATTTTTAAAAGTATGATCGTGCTAGTGATCGAGATGAACAATTATACCCAGTAATTCTCTAGTATTGGATACCTAAATTTTACCTGAACTGATGGCATAAATGATTTATTTATGAAATTGTTGTTATGACAAATTGTGCAGTCAGTACCTATTTGAATCATTTGGGCAATGGCGGAGTTTAAGTTATTTAAAATTAATCGATTTTCTTGTTTTTGATAATCTTTAAAAGTAATATTTTTACTCCAGTTTCAGAATTGCAGTGGAAATTCGTTGATGAATCAACAAAACATAATCAATTGTTTTTAAAAATGATTAAGTGTGGACAAGATCCCAAAGTCAAGGTTGAATGTATAAGTGATGTGCGTGTAATTTTCTCCGGAGAATTTTGCATCGGCAAAGGAAGTGATGGGACTCGTGTTTATCTTGGACTGGGAAAAGATGGCCATGGAAAAGCAGTAAAACGTATGCCTAGTGATATCTGCATTGGGCTTACACAACAAGGAAAGAAAACTTTCGAAGAAATCATCGAAAAAAAATCGAATTATGTTGTGAATTATTTTTACTTAGAAGAAGACATTACATCAGAATATGTTTATTTAATACTAGACCTGTGTGAAGAATCGCTGGAGGATTTTGTGCAATCAGAATCAAATAGCTTGGCTCATCTTCAAAAATCGCTTCCCAAAATTCTCAGACAAATTTTAAAAGGTTTAGCTCATCTTCACAGCGAGCCACATCCTATTTTTCATCGAGATTTAAAGCCTTCCAATGTTCTCCGAGATGTCCAAGGCAAATTTCTGATAGCTGACTTTGGTATCAGTCGAATACTAAAAAGTGATTATAAGACATTTAAACACGGCCTTACTTGGGGATCTGATTATTGGGCTTCTCCCGAATCGTATTGTCCGGATGATGAGTCGATTAAAAAGTCACATTACGAAAAAGAGTCTGATGTAATGGTGGGTGTAGATTTGTAATTGTTTGCATAGTACACTTAAATTTATTTTTATGTTTTTTTCACGCTTTTACTTTTTCGACGATTTTAGAGTGCAGGAATAGTGGCTTTTTATGTTGCAACAAAAGGGAAACATCCTTTTGGAGATCGAACAACAAGACTGCAAAACTTGTCAAATGGAAACCCTGTTGAATTGAAAAACATAGTAGATGTTGAACTTAAAGATCTTCTTTCGTGGATGCTACAATTGAAACCTGAACTCAGACCATCTGCCAACGAGGCGCTAAAACACCCATATCTACAATCCGATGAATGTAAGTTTGACTTGATGTGCGATGCGGGAAGCCAACCGGAGATAAAGATACCATATTTAGGTCATCCTGTCAACTCAGATGTCCGTGAGCAGTTAAATGGGTTAAAAAATTGGAAGGATCGTATTGACCCTGAAGTCTTCAGTAATTTCAATGTGGGACACTACGATGCTACATGGTTAGGCTGCTTGAAATTTATACAAAATGTTCACCAGCATTGGAATGATGTACCTCGTCCAAAACGGCTTCAAAGTGATGGTAATTATAAAACGTTTTTCCTGCAAGTTTTTCCAGAGCTTCCTCTTTTGGTAAACAGAGTTATAAGATTAAATGAATGGAAATACAGACCTGATCTCAAAGAACACTTTTCAAGTAAGTTACAAACATGTTCGTAAATGTAGATCGTCCAGGTTGGTATAGTCCTGAGAAGGACTGTTTTTGTTGTTGTTAACTGACGTTTCAACAACCTTAGCAGTAGTCATCTTTAGAGTCAAATGAGGAGTAAACCTCAGGTTAGCCGTATTAGTTATCTGGTTCTTACGTCATTGTATTGTGTGTACAGGAAAAGTGTGTGATATTTTGGAAATTTTTTTGTTCTGACTGTATAGCTAAATTAGTGTTTCTTTTAAAAAGTCCCTCAAAAGAAACATCACGCAATAGAAATTTAGTGGTCTTATGATCGCCGGAAGATCTGTAACTGCATATTGGGTCATCCTTAAATTGTAAATCTTAAGCTGTGATCGAAAATTTACCATTTGATGAAGTGAACTTGAAATTAATATGGACTGAAGAAGGTCGATAATTGTTTAGTATTCGTAAATGCAGGTTATGCCTTATTAAGCTCTTTTGAAATCAATTAATCCATTATTTTTGGCGTATCATAAAATGCATTTATGAATATGATCCCTCCCCAATTATCGATCTTCTCCGCTTTCTGCTTAAGAAATACAACAACAGAGTCCAATTGGTATTAATAAAGATAACTGGAAGGATGATATATGGAAGGAAGGTGCAGATAGAAATAGTCAGTGAAGCAATTTAAGCATTTTCACTTAATACTTGTTTATTTGTACTTTAACTACGAGTTACAACTTGGCGAATAGTCATTTAAGTTGTAATGATTTACAATGAGAGTGAGAAAGTGCTATGAAACTACAAAAGATAAAGAAAATTAATTAAGAATGCTTCAGATAATTTATATATTTAAATTATATGTTTAGGTCTTTAGTATCATATACAGTGTTTTTTAGATTTAATGGACGAGACCAATGTGTTGTTTATGATTTTATGTTTTGCTTTTATCTAGTATTGACTAGACAGAACTTTCGTATTCAACACCAAAAAGAATTAAAGCAACAATTATTAAACGGTTTTACGTTAACACAGAAAATAAAATGTAGATTTAAGCTGATCCATCCAGTGAAACTAGTTTCCTAGAATATAAAGGACAATATCCTTTGACCAGTTGCGGAACTAGAACGCTAGTTGGGGGTGGGGGAATATGCATATATACAGCTATATTTGAAATTAACATCGCGAACAAAAGAAATCAGCAGGGCAGAGCTGAATATATGAATATATACCCCCAGAACTAACGTTCTAGTTTCGCCCCTGCCTTTAACTAGGATTGGAAGTACTGTTATTTTACTGTTTGGAAGATTTTTACAATCCCGATCCACCCTTCTTTATCTGATGTAATACATTTACGTCAGTTTCAGAATTGCAGTTGCAAGAATGGAAATACATTGGTGAATCAACAAAACATAAAGAATTGTTGTTAAAACTAACTGAGTATGGACAAGATCTTAACAATGAGGTTAAACATTTGAACGATATACGTGTAGTTTTCTCGGAAGAGTTTTTACTTGGCAAAGGAAGTGATGGAACCCGTGTTTATCTTGGACTGGGAAAAGATGGTTACGGTAAAGCAGTGAAACGAATAAATCGTGATAACTGCATTAGGCTTGCACAACAAAAAAAGAAAATTGAAGCGAAGCGCTCGAATTGTGTTGTAAATTATTCTTACTTAGAAGACATTACATCAGAATATGTTTATTTAATACTCGACCTGTGTGAAGAATCGCTGGAGGATTTTGTGCAATCGGAATCAAATAGTTTGGCTTATCTTCAAAAATCTCTTCCCAAAATTCTCAGACAAATTTTAAAAGGTTTAGCTCATCTTCACAGCGACCCACATCCTATTCTTCATCGGGATTTAAAGCCTTCTAATGTTTTCCGAGACGCACAGGGCAAATTTTTAATAGCTGACTTTGGTATGAGTCAAATTTTGAAGATTGAATCTAACACATTAAAAAGTGGCACCAAAATGGGAGCTGGGTATTGGATTGCTCCTGAATTATATTGTGAAGGTGAAGATTCATTTGATAAAGCACGTTACAAAAAAGAGTCTGATGTAATGGTAGGTTTAGAATTTTACCAGTTGCAAATCGAAATGTAATTTATTAACTTTTCAAAAATGCTGAAAAAACGTTTTCATGGATTTTAGAACGCAGGAATGGTGGCTTTTTATGTTGCAACAAGAGGGAAACATCCTTATGGAACTCAAGCGACAATAGTGCATAACTTGTTGCATGGAATCCCTGTTTTATTGAATGAAATTGATGATGTTAAACTTAAAGATCTTCTTTCATGGATGCTACAGTATGAGCCTAAACTCAGACCATCGGCCACCGAGGCGTTAGAACATCCTTATCTACAATCCGATGAAAAGAACTTTGATATGCTGTGTGAGATGGCAAACCAACCAGGGATAGAGATACCGTATTTAGGTCATCCTCTCAACTCAGATGTGCGTGAGCAGTTAAATGGTCTAAATAATTGGGTGGACCGTATTGAACCTAAAGTTTTTAGTAATTTCAATAAAAGTCAATACGACTCCACATGGTTGGGTTGCTTAAAATTTTTGCAAAACGTTCACGAGAATTGGCATGATGAACTTCGTCTACAACTGTCATTATATGTTAAAGATGGAAACTATCAAGAGTATTTCCTAGAAGTTTTTTCTGAGCTTCCTTTGCTTGTAAACAAAATAAAAAGGTTGATTAAATGGAAGTCAAGACCTGATCTTAAAGAACACTTTTCAAGTAAGTTACAGTCCTAGAAATACTTTTTCATTTTCATTGATGGATTAATTTAATGAAGTCTTCCTCATTTTTCACAATGCCAAGTGTAAAAATTTCAAGTCTTTACAGTGAAAGTGTAAACTTTTTTGGTTAGATTCATCGTAATTTAGCGATATATTTCTTTATCAACGTGTCAAATATTATCAAATGTTTAGCCTTTTCAACTTGGACGATTTAACCCCAGCAGTTCTATGTATGGCTATGAAAGCACATGTGTTATTTTTGAATTGTTCAACTATACCTAAAATGCATATGGCGTTAAGCAATAAGTGTGTGTTGTTTTACTGGTATTCATGAATACAAAGAGAATTTCTTTTTATTTAAACTCTGCTGTCTGTAGCGACATAGCAAAGCGTTGATGTTAGTGCAAAGCTAAGCTTTGTTTTTGTTACTACATGTTCACTTTCTAAAAGGCCTATAAAACTTGAATTTGCAAAAGCAATATATTTTTACACAATCCTTTGCCAGCAAATAGTTAATAAAATACAAAAAAAAACTCAGCATGAAAGTCCGTCTTACTCAATATTTTTTAAATAAATTTAATTTCTTGATTGCTTCAAACGATGACACCCATATAAAGATTCATATTTAAGCAAGCCACATCCCATGGGAGAAATAACCAACGCTAGCAATTTGAATTTCAATCAATCATTCCTCAAATGGAAGCTATGTTGCTTCTATAAAGGAAGATAAAGCGTTTAACCGGCATCAAGTCACTGGCTTAGCAACTAAGAAAGATGCAAGATGATTTTTTTCATAAGAAAATTGCTAACATTGTGTTAGAAAGTGTGTTAGAAAGTCATTTTCCGAATTTTTAACAAACTTAAATGTAAAGTAAGCAGAGTAATTGAAATGGGGCATTATGAAGAGACTATGCATTGATGGATAAATTTTAAGGAGAAAGAAGGCAAATAACAAAACACCAATAACAATGCACGTGTAATTGAAAGAAGATCACATATTCAAAAAGTAAGAAGTCACATTGACAGAAGAGGGAAGAACATTGTCAGCTTTTAGTTAAGCAAGCCAGGACATATTGCAAAGAACTTCCCACTCACTGTTTCAGCAAAACAACAGGAATAATTAAAAATGCCTGAAAGAGGAGGAGTTGCATTAATCTTTGGTACGAGAAATACCAATAAACGTTATTTTGACTAAGCTGCTAAAAAGAATGTGACTAAATACGAGAACTCTTTCATTAATAACAAAAGGTACGAATTTTCAACAAGTTGATGATACATGCACAAAGGCAGCACGTAATGATCAAGTCGGAAACAAAAGATGTGGATTCATAATAAAGTTACTTAGTTTTGCATGTGCCAAGATCAGCAAAGAGTTTATGTCTGTGCAAGCGATATTCACCAACTGATTCTTCAGATAAATGGCATCAAATGTTTGTTTATTTAAATGGTCAATGGGTCGAAGTGGTGAATCGACGAAGTTCAAAAGTCAAAGGAGAGTAAACTGCTCATTAGGAAAATTTCAGAGAGTATCATTCCGGTAAGGAAGTTTGGGAGCAAGTGTTGTAAGTATGAGCATGCTTTTACGGATGTTTGTGAGTAAATGTCCTGCAAACTAAGGGAGGTTTAGTAAAGTCCAAATATATCGAAAAGAGACGCTTAAATCGGAACATACTACTCCTGTATTTAGAGGAAAACGTTTATACTGTAACAAAGTTATGTAACCATTTTCTTGCATTGTTGTGTATGTGGGTAAAATCAATTGGAAGAAGTTAATGGCTACATGCTCACTTTTATTGAGTATTTTTCCAGTCTTCAGATACACTGTGGTACACCCTTTCAAGAGGAAAGGTGGTGTCCTGGCCAAGCTTAAGACATTTGTGTGCTATAATCAAAGTCAGAGAGAAGATCATAAAATCAAAACTTTAATTAGGAAGAACAATGGAGATGAATATTAGTTTGGCTTGCGCGGAAAATTAAGGTGTCTTGTTATAATTCACATCTCTTTAGTCTACAGAGCAAAATGGTTTAACAGAGATTTTGAATCGGACAGTAATGGTCATGGAATCAGGATAATCAATGACGAAACTTCCGTTGGTTGTCTTACAAATGCAAAGACAAGTATGACCCCGCCTAAAACAAGAGATTTGCCATAAGTTGCGATCAACGCTAATCTTTTTCGCTATGATTGATCGAAGACAGAGGGGATGACCTACTGAGAATTTTTATTCAATCTTAGGTGGACATGATTACAAAAAACAGATGATCCAAATGAACACACTGAGCAACCGAATGAGCCAAAAGAAGAAACAGAAATTCAATCAGCATGAAAAAGCTCCACAGAATTGATCATGGCAAATTTATGCAGTTTAGGACAGTTAAGGCAGCGAAAAGTGCCTGTTCCAAGTAGAGATGAAGCATATACTTAATGTTTCAATCAATCACATCAGAAATTGATGAGCCCGAGAGCGTTCAAGAACCTTAAAAAAGTATTCCATTCAATATAGAAAAGAAACTGTCATCTTCAAGAAAATTGAACGTTGGACACGGACTGGGAGCAAAAAAGGGGTTGGTTGGCTCCCAAAAGGTTCTTAAAGTGAAACACGTGTAGCTATGACAGTTTATTGCGCAAAGTAAAATTATGCTTTTAAAATATTTAATCATGAACCACCAGAGTCCAGAATGAAATTTAAGAGTTGAGAGCAAAAGTCCGGTCAAGATTTTATACAAAACTGTTGTATTCTTTTCGAGAATGAAAAACCTTTAGATATTAAGAAATTATGTTCTTAAAACGTTAAATTTAATGAGGTCAACATAAAGCAACAAACATATAGTTTTATGCACATTGAATTAAGCATGCATGCATGAAAATATATCATGCGTGCATGAAAAGAAAATTTTTGCAATTAATGTGTCTGCTTCCTATTCACATTTGAAACAGGCACTTATCCAGAACGATAATTGGGAGAGCAATATTCATATAATCATACGGCATGTCATGCATATATGAATATGCTTCCCTAATCGTCGTTCTAGCTGAGTGCCTAATATGAAACAGAGATGATTTTAGTTTCTGTTTGATATCTCATTATTTGTCCCTTGAAGTATTTCTCTTTTTTATTTTATAAACTTGTGTTGCAAAGAGTGGAAATACATTGGTAAATCAACAAAACATGAAGCAATGATTTCAAAGCTAATTGAGTATGAAGGCAAGATTCCCAATGTTCAGGTCGAAGATGTGAACGGTGTACGTGTAATTTTCTCAGACGAATTTATCATTGGCTGTGGAAGTAATGGAACCCGTGTCTATCTTGGACTGGGGAAGGATGGCTACGGTAAAGCAGTGAAACGAATACTTCGTATTGAATGCATCAATCTTGCACATAAAGAAACAGAAATTTTGAATGAATTAAGCGCAAAGGAATCGAAGTTTGTTGTCAATTATCACTCCTTAAAAGAAGACACGGGAACAGATTCTGTCTATTTAATACTGGACCTATGTGAAGAATCGCTGGAGGATTTTGTGCAATCAGAATCAAATAGCTTGGCTTATCTTCAAAAATCTCTTCCCGAAATTCTCCGACACATTTTAAAAGGATTATCTGATCTTCATAGTGGCAAAAATCCTATTCTTCATCGCGATTTAAAGCCTTCTAATGTACTTCGAGATGCACAAGGAAAATTTCTGATAGCTGACTTTGGTATTAGTCGAATATTGAAAGATGGAAGTAAGACAAGATTAAGTAATGCTAAAAAGGGAACTCCGCATTGGATTGCTCCTGAATCATTTTGTACAGATAAAAATAAGGATGGAAAAGGACGTTACAAAACAGAGTCGGATGTAATGGTAGGTGTTTGCAATTTAAGTTTAAAAATTTTTTTTTTTGAATTTCTTTCATCATATTACGTTGTGATGTATTTTAGACTGCAGGAATGGTAGCTTTTTATGTTGCCACAAAAGGAGACTATCCTTTTAAAATTGAAGAGGATATATTGAAAGGAAACCCTGTTGGCTTAGAGAAAATAGATGATTTTGATCTAAAAGATCTACTTACGTGGATGCTACAGCTAAAACCGGAAGACAGACCATCGGCCAACGAAGCGTTAAAACACCCTTATCTACAAACCGATGAGGAGAATTTTGATTTGCTTTGTGATGTTGGGAATCAACCAGAAATAAAGACATCATCTCGACATCCTCTTACCTCAGATGTTTGTGAGCAGTTGAATATTACAATAGATTGGATGAACCGTATCTATCCTGAAGTCTTTAAACATTTCAATAAAGTATCCTACGACTCTACATGGTTAGGTTGCTTAAGATTTTTGCGAAACGTTCGCCAGCATTGGTATGATAAACCTCGTCCACAACTGTCATCATATGTTAAAGATGGAAACTATCAAAAGTATTTTCTTCAACTTTTTATGGAACTGCCTCTTCTAGTTCATAGAACCATAAGATTGAGTGACTGGAAGACAAGACCTGTTCTAGAGAAACATTTTGCAAGTAAGACACAGAAATGAGTTTTCATTTTCGATGACCAAGCTATAAATTAGGGGTCCATGACACTATATTTGTTATTTTCACTCTAGTTCTCCTCTTCATTTATTGTACTTAATGCATGTATGTTTTTAATTCTGTATATTTCCATTTCAAACATTTTTTAGACAGTGCACATCCTGTAAAACGTGAAGAAGGCAAGGGAAAGAAAAGCGAAGCTGTTATTGAATACCCTGATCTTAAAGGTAAATAGCTATGTAACAACAAACTAATGCTGTGTACGTGTCACTTTTCTTAAATATTCTACCAAAAACCGTAATCTCTTCACTTGTATCTGGTGCATCATTTTCTAACTTTGTGCAACTGAAAATAACGGTTCAAGCATGTGTGATAGTACTAGCAATAGTCAAAAATCTTTAGACGAGATTAACAATTTGTCAGATATCCAAAGATAGTGACGAGTACCTACGAATCATGGTGATTCAGAGACTTTAGCATATTTTTATCGAATGGTAAAAAGAAGCTTATAGCTTATTATATTGTCAAACTTGTAAAGAACACATATGCAATAGTAAATATTGCGTATCCTTTGCTTTAAGTCAACAAATCCTTTCACGTCGTATGCATTAATGCTGAAATTGCGAAAAATGCTTGCTTAGAAAAAGAAGAGAGTTTTCGCTTGGAGTTATTAATCCTTTTAGCAGCTCATTTCACTTATTTTATTTTCTTTGCATTATTTATCCTAAGTGTAAATGGTCAGATCAAATGACGAATGGAAAAACAAGAACATTATCGTTTTCAATTTAAAGCTAAAATGTGCCACATCAATGAAGTCTTTTTATTGTCTGCAAAAGAGGTTTATGGGAAAGCAATTGGCAAGAAGGAAATCAATGATACCACAATTCAAGATTCCCTTTTATGTATGTTTTAATTTGAGGCTCTTAAGCAAGTTAGATTAAGTAACCAAGTTGGATATTACATGGCCAGATTGCTATGAATTTTCATTGGATTTTACAATGTTATATAATTAACTATTTTTTTGTCTGTCTTCAAATGACTAACGATCTAAAACTGAAGGCGAATGAAATTTAAATTTGATTTCCATACATCATGTTTGTTATGTAAAATGTACAATAAATTTTAACATGTGTAATTTATAATGCATAGCATCTCTTCAAGTATAACAATGTATAACAATACATATAACTATATATAACAATATAATATGGATGTCATGACTTGTAACGCAATTAAGGAGTTGCTCGATTTGTGCTCAAAATACGTTCTACTTTAGCGTTATATACAGTGTAAGTCTTTCGTATGAGCTCCGAGCGTGAGTTCAATGTACTAGAACGCTATTTAGTTTATGTACGTCACTACAGTACCACTGCAAAGTGTAAAAGATTGATACGCATAAAAAGAACAACTTATTAAATTGGGGAAATTGGGAATATTTGAATAAAATGAGGGACTCTAGCTTATTAATTGCCTTCATGCATGTTTCGTTATTTTAATTGAATTCTTGTTTATTTTACCTTTAAGTATTACAACATTGTGTTAGTGCCAACTCTAGAAATTTCTGAATTGAAGATTAAATTCCAAAGAACGCAAGACGGGGTCGGCGGCCATATTTTTTAGCCACTAATCATTCGTAAATCGTTATCCCCATGAATATTTATCCAGGGAGTAAGTTGTCGTATAGTCAGAGGTATAGTTAATTAAGTTAGTATTCTGTGCATTCTCTGTGACGATGGTGTTAGTATCAGAGTTGTAAATTGACACGTAAGTAAACCTTTTAATAAGTATTACTTTTGGGAAGTCTTGTCTTGGCTTTATCTTTCTCGATCTTTCGGTTTGTCGTTTGTATGTGAACTATTTAGCGTTATTTCTATCAGCGATAGGTGTTGTGAACATTAATGTAAATAAAGAAACAACTTCTTAGTTTCGAGCCGCTTAAGTTTGTGTTCTCTTCTGTGTGGTAAATATAGCTAGAATACATCGACCTCTATAAAAACATGAGTTCACGACTGTAAGAAGTATTCAAGATTGTAAAATAGATAATGACATAGATAAATACTTGACATGTGTGGAAATAAAAAATACATGAATCAATAAAGTAGATAGAGTTCGTAAAACGCTGTAAGCGCTGCATGTGTGAAAATAAAATGGATAAGGGTCACTTGCTTGACAAATTAGCAGTCATTGATATATTATAATTTTGCCAAAAACACCCAAATTGTTTTTTCCTGAAAGTAAAAGCTAACGAGAATAAATGCACAAATATGAAGCTTATAAACATAACTAACCATGCATGAAACGTTAACACTTATGCTGCATTTTAGCTTCCTCGTGAACATGTGTCACAAAGCTCTTGGAATGAAGAAAAACCATTATGAAAGAATTATAATATAAGTAAAAGTAAGCTTTGGTTTTATTAAGTACATATAGTGAATGTAAATTGCATTGGGAATGCAAGCCATGTAAATTAGTTCTTAGTCATGCCACTTGTGCAAAACAAAGGACTTGCTGTTTGAATTTAGATTCCCCACATTGTTCACATGTCTTGTGATTATTTTAAAATTTATTTAAAGACATATTTATCAGTACTCATTCTCTCTGGTGTGATCTACAATCAAATAGAATTATGTTCTTCATTTCTTTGCCAGGTTAAGACATTGTCAAAATAAAAAGTTCTTGTGTTAACTGTATATAGATTGGGTTTTGGTTCATAATATAAATCCTAAGAGATTTGACTTGTCTCCAATCCCTGTGGGCTTGGGAGCTCTACAGGTATCTAGAGCGACAGACTAGTATCCCGAAGGTGTGAGTTCAAATCTCGTCCAAGTCACATGTTTTTCATGTTCATATAAAAACCATGTTAAGATTTATATTATGTATAGATTGGGTTTGGATTATAATAGATATCATAGCATTTTAAATCTTTAAGCTTTATACAAAAAATCAGTTTGGGGCTCTACAGATATAACATGAAAATTTTGTGAGGTTTATCTACTGCCATGAAAGCAAAGCTGTTATTTTGATCTGATGACATTTTGAAAAGAATCAAATGCTTCATAATCAAAATAGAAGAATTGCTTACATGTGAAATCTTTAGCTATGTGTGAATAAGTTGTGATATTTTGTTTATACTGAAAATAAGATTAAAAATGCAACTAAAATCTGAAATGCCAAAGCTAGCACAAAAGAAATGAGTAATCAAATTTAATGCACCTTGTTGTATAACTTTATGCACTAAAATATGTGACAAGCAAAGTTAAAAATAAAAATAACTTGTATACTTTAGTCAAATATGTTTATTGCAAGTTTTGATGAATTCGATTGTTGTATAGTATATTGTGAAATGTAACAAACTCTTCAAATAAAGTGCAATTGGTATGAAAATCTGGTTTTGATGTCCCCAAATGGATGGTATCATATCACCCATCCACAATGTCAGGCTATGGTTACGTAGCAGAGGCGTAGTCAGCTCGATAATTGGAGGGCAATATTCATTTATAATCTGTATTAAATTCCTTTGAAATCCATTGTTTTCTTGAGATTACAACATACATATATCAGTATTGGCTCCCCAATTATTGATGAAGCAGTCTACTGCTACGCAGCAGATAAAGCAATGGTAGAAACCACGAGTATCACGTGTGTAATCGAGGTGTAATCCCATATGTAATTCTCATCTGCCATACTACATGCTGGGACTGCACGCTCATCCCAAATGCATTTTGTAAGCTAAAATATCAAATTTTCCAGCTGTAAGATTTAAGTCCGTTGGCGCAAGGCGTGACAAAAATATCTATAAATTTGTTTTGTTGTACGTAAACGGATAAAAACAAAACGTGTTTGCGACTTAAACAGCTGTTTATATTGTGTTTATTGTGTCAAAACTTTAGAACCCCCTTTAGAGCATTGTTATGTTTTCACATGTCATCTACTTAATATGAAATTCTCAAATATAGTGAGAGCCAAGTCATTGGTGATGGGGAGGGTTTGGTGCTGTAAACCTTGAGTAATTTTGTGCTATTATTAATGAATATAACTCACGTTAAATCTCTAAACAAATAACACCAAAAAAATGTGTCTTGCTACGTCAATGACATGTTAAGAAATACTGCAAAGGATTGTTCTTGAACTTTAATAATGTCTTCACATGATACCAACTTAAGTCTTCCATCATGTGTGTGTGTGTGGGTCAGATGTAAATTCTCGAGTAGAGTAAGTATTCAAAATTCTAAATGAAAGTTTTCATTTACTTCAATGAATGAGTATTCGTATGCTTTTGAAGTAGAGACTCTAACGACAAAGTTGATTTTTTGTCTTTAGTTAAATATGGAATGACTTTAACATTTGGCCAATACAACTGACGTAACAAAGAAGAATCTTCTGTTGACTTGTAACCACTAGTAGATTCTATACATGGGTAATTGCTGCTGTCCAAAACCTGATACCTCCGTTGGCGAGGAACATTTCTTGAAAGTGGGGAATTGTGGTATGATCTGTTCTTAACAGTTCCTCAAAACACGCCCTGTGCACAAAAATTAATAATTGGAAGAGTAATTTAATCACCCATATTCAAAATAAGGACTGTGTTGCACAACCTATTAAAGTTTCAAGTAATTTGGTGCACGCTCTGGCAAACTCAATGTCTTCAAAACTTGGATTACTTCGAGTTTGTGCATTTCAAACAAAGTTTGTTCTATCATATCAAGCTCAATTTATGCATTATCGGGAAATTGCATAAATTACAATATGAAATTATCAACTCCAATTCTTGAAAGTGTATTTGTTGTATAAAGCAAGGTATTAAATGCAAAAACGCAAAAATCCATGTTTTCAGCGCGTGCGTCAAAAGTTTGAGATTACGATAGAACTGTTTTTCTTTTGATAATTTTTTTCAAAAGGTCTGTTTTGAAGGATTTTTAACAACAATATAAAAACCTTGCACTCTCCGAATTTTAAGTGTCTGCTATGTCAAAGAACGTTAAAATACTTAAAATTAGTAAAGGTTTTTGGTTATTTAGCGTGCATCTACTTTTCGAGAACTTTTTTCCTAGAGTCAATCATTTTCTATACACCTTGTATATTAACTATAGATTTATTGCTAGCACTTGAAGTTCATCATTGAAAATTTACATAAAGCCTGTTTTTTACGTCGCATTTTACATGAGTCGATTGCATACAAATTTAATAAGGAATTTTATCTGAATTTCATTTGTTTCAAATGCATTCGACGCATGTAAAATTCGACGTATAAAACAGGTTGTTTGTCACAGAAATGTTTAGTGTGGAATACGCTTTCTTTTTTAACGCACATGCATATTTTCGACAAAATAACTTTAATTTTTTCGCAAAAGTTGGTCTTAGTCGTAATAATTTTACCTGAATTTGCCTGTTTAAAAGCTTGATTGCCCTAATCTGAAGACAGGATGCATTGTATTCCATTGTATCAGTTATCAGCAATAAGCTTCACTCTTGCTAGCATTGTTCGTTTTAACGAGTGGTTTATGATATATTGGTTGTTAATAAGTTGTTTTGACGATTTGCATGTTGCTATTTGAATTCTTAATTTAGAAACTTGTGCTACTTTAGGGCCCATTCTAACTAACACTTTAAATCAATTCGAAATCGATTAGAGTCCGTACGAGAGCTAATGTGAACACTTAGAAGTGATGCGAAAACGAATTCGATCAGAAATAATTTCGGCCACCTCAAAAGGTGGTCTTAGAGTCTCGAATCGGATTAGTCCGCATGATAATGTGAACATGCAACACGAATAGAATCAGATCAATCTTGATTAATCACATGTTTTTAGCTTAAAGTAAATGGTTTGAACCCGGGAGTATCGTTACATGTTTGTAAATATAGATCGTCCAGGTTGGTATAGTCCTGAGAAGGACTGTTTTTGTTGTTGTTGACTGACGTTTCGACAACCTTAGCGGTAGTCATCTTCAGAGTCAAATGGGGAGTAAACGTCAGGTTAGCCGTATTTATTATCTGGTTCTTACGTCATTGTATTGTGTATACAGGAAATGTGTATTATCATTGTGAATTAGTGTGAAGTGAAATATTTTTATTTTTAGTTGTGATGTGTGATTTAGGTGTGATATTTTTAGTTGTAATGTGTGGGTGTCAATTGTGTATTGTCATTGTGAAATAGTGTGAAGTGTAATGTTTTTAGTTGATCGTTTGTTTGTATTTTGAATAAGTCGTTTGTAAAGTGCCGGTAATTGCTGTGATCTGTTCAGGGGTGTTTGTTTCAAGTTGGTATACCAACTTTCTAATGTAAGCCTTTCTATAGTCAGTACTGCAAGTAATGCATTTTGCCGAGTCCCAGTCAATGTAGTGCTTTGTGATTCGGTGATGTTCGGCAATGTGATTAGTTTTGTCTTGTTTCTTAGTAGCTCGTTGTTGTTTAGTAAGTTTTCTTTTTAAGTTCCTGCCAGTTTCCCCGATATAGGAGGCGTGGCAGTCGGAGCAGTTTATTTTGTAAACTGCACCTTGGCGTTCGTTGGGTTGTTCTTTGTCCTTTATGTTCGTTAGTACTTGGCGTAACGTTGTGATTGGTTTATGTGCGACACGTATGTTGTATGGTCGTAAAGTACGCAAGATAGTCTTAGACGTACCTTTGATGTAAGGTATCGTTGCTGTTTTCACTGAGTTGTTCGTTTCGTCGGGTTCGTTGGGTTTGTAAGTTTTGCGTTTGATAAAGTCAGAGTTATAGTTGTTTTTGTCAAAAACACGTTTGAGATAGTTGTTTTCGTTTTGTAGAGCGTCCGGTGAATCACATATGATTTTGCACGTCTTGTTAATGTTCTGATTGTGGTGGCTTTGTGTGATGTAGGGTTGTAAGATGATTGGTTTAGTAGTCGGTCAGTATGTGTTGGCTTGCGATAAACTGTTGTTCGTAGTTTTTGATTATCGTGTTTTACCAAACAGTCGAGAAAAGGAAGAGTTCCGTTTTCTTCGACATCTTTGGTAAATTGTATGTGGCTGTTCTGTTTGTTGATATGAGTGTGAAATTCATCAATCTCGTCTGCATGTAGTGCTGTGATTGTGTCATCTACGTAGCGATGTTTTTAGCTTAGTAACCAGGCTTTTCGTGCGATCACACATATCACGCGTTTCGTTTATGCTGTGTTTGCTTGCAGCAATATTTTACAGTTATAAGCAAATATTTTAAAATAGTTCTAGAGATAGCAAATACCATAATGAATGGTAAAAGTAACATAATAAGTTTATAGTTCTTAAAAGAACTGTTTTAAGTAAAGAGCACTAGGACCAGTACTTGCTAATATTTTTGTTGGCTATTATGAGTGTAAGATGTTTGCCTCGTTTGGGCCTCTGGAAGTGCTGTGGTACAAACGTTACGTTGACGACACCTTTTCCCTTTTTTGTAACGACAAAAATCGCCTATTATTTTTACATAAACTCTGTTCTCTTCACCCTTCTTTAAATTATACGTCTGAACAGGAATCAAATTGTGAGTGAGCGTTTTTGGATGTTCTTGTCCGTAAACGCAATGGTCAATTCCTTACAAGCATTCATCGCAAGGCAACTTTTACGAGTTTGTACACATGCTTTGACGCTTTTTCTTCACACAGAGGAAAGATTTCTTTAGTAAAGTGTTTAATAAAGCGAACGCTTAGACTGTCTTCAGAGGAGTTCATTTAGAATCATTTAAGAAATGCCCTTCATTCTTTCAGTTACGCGTCATGGAGGCTGTTTTAATTAAGTTAACCAATCCGTCCCCTGCCGACAAAATGGATTATGTTTTTAATTTATCTCTGTTTTGAGTATCATCTCCCCTTTTTGAGATGACGTACACTCTTTCTTGGTATTATAAATATCGAGAAATTGTAAATTTTCATTTAGGAGACATTGACATCTGAGGAGTAGTCTGCCGTAATGCATCGTGTCGTTTAATTTAGAACTATTGGTTTTGTGCTCGTTACTTAAAACAGTTCTTTTAAGAACTATCAACTTATTATATTACTTTTACCATTCACTATGGTATTTGCTATCTTTAGAACTATTTTCAGATTTGTCACCACGACAAAGTCTCTATTTTATTATTTAAGGAAATGTGTCGAAATGCGGAGAAACCTGGTCTTATGAAGAAGTGATAGTACTTAATTCTATTTGGGGGTCTGAAGAAATACAAAAGAAACTAAAAACTACGCACAAAAATGCAGATATTTACAAAAAAATAATATCATTTCGACATTTCGAAATAAAGACATTTCTTTTGTTGGCCAATTTTAATTTCAAAAGAAATCATCGGGGCTGAATGTTTGAATATTCAGTTTATTATTCACCCACCACCTTCCCTCCCCAATTAGCGCTCTAGTTTCGCCTCTGGATGCATTATACCAATAATACTTTACCTGAACTGAATGCTTTAATGAGTGATTTATAAAATGGTTGTAATTAAGTTGATGTGCTTTCAATTACTATCCAAATCATTTGGGCAATGGCGGAGTTAATCGATTTTCTTGTTTTGATAATCTTTAAAAGTAATATTTTTACTCCAATTTCAGAATTGCAGTGGAAATGCGTTAATGAATCAACTAAACATAAACAATTGTTTTTAAAAATGATTAAATATGGACAAGATCCCAAAGTCAAGGTTGAACATATAAGTGATGTGCGTGTAATTTTCTCCGGAGAATTTTCATCGGCAAAGGAAGTGATGGAACTCGTGTTTATCTTGGACTGGAAAAGATGACTATGGAAAAGCAGTGAAACGAATACTTCGTGATATCTGCATTGGGCTTACACAACAAGAAAAGAAAATTTTCAAAGACATCATCGAAAAAAATCGAATAATGTTGTGAATTATTTTTACTTAGATAAAGACATTACATCAGAATATGTTTATTTAATACTCGACCTGTGTGAAGAATCGCTGGAGGATTTTGTGCAATCGGAATCAAATGGTTTGGCTTATCTTCAAAAATCGCTTCCCAAAGTTCTCAGACAAATTTTAAAAGGTTTAGCTCATCTTCACAGCGACCCATATCCTATTCTCATCTGGATTTAAAGCCTTCTAATGTTTTCCGAGACGCACTGGGCAAATTTTTAATAGCTGACTTTGGTATGAGTCGAATTTTGAAGAATGAATCTTACACATTAAAAACATCCATAACTGATCCACGGAAGACAAGAGCGAACGGTATATTTATTACATTAACTAGAAATTTGATGTTGTTGAAAAGTATGATAGATGTGGGAAAAATCATTATTAGACGTTAAACTTTTATAGTATTTATTGACCAAGTAAGATTTGTTTTCTTCTCTTTTATTACGTAAAGAGAAGAAAGTAAATGTAGAGAAACATGAAGAATTTCAAGAAAACAAATTGGAAATAGCAAAAACCCAGCAGTAACAACCAGAAGATTTACCACAATGACCAGAAAGTAAGCAACACTTAAAGCCAAATGAACTAATTGAAGGTATTTTGTCTGAAATTAGTTTAACAGACCTTCATTTTTACCTGATGACCTCTTTACTGCAATATAATAGGGTAGCTGTCAGTCTAAAAGACATATAGAAGTATATCAATGACCATATGTTAATTTAATTGTTTTGGGGAAAATGAAAAATAAACGTTTCATTTGCCACAGATATTTTTTATTCTAAAACTTTCTTTTGTTATTGATGGTTAAATACTTTAAATTAACTTATTGAATGATCGTATACACGGTAAAAATTTGATATAATTGTTTATCGTACCTGTTGTTTAAGAGCAAATAGGAATTTTTTGTCGTGACGCCTCAAAAGAAAACATTGAGGCCGAAACCAGTAACTCTGCAAAAGGTATTTTATGTTTATGTTACGTGCAAAAAATCTGTAAATGCCATTCTTATACCATGTCGAAAACGTAATAAAACACTTTAATCTTGTGAATAAGATTAATATGACCTGATTAACGTCATAGCGTATAAAAGCGTCTAGCGTATCATGACTAAAACCAGAAATCCAGAGCAAAGTAATTTATGATCCCATGTATATGATTAGTCAATTTTTAGTCTTATTTATGTCTTATCTTATGGAAGTTTCATCGTAGTTAATGTTGGTTCACCAAAGTTATCAATTATATTTTTATGATATTTAGAAGCAAATCATGACGAAAACTTCCTTAAACTTCTAGACAAAAGTAAGAATATTAAAGCTGACGTTCACAAGGCTCTCCAAAGGTAATTTTTCTTTCATGGGATATCGATTATGTATGTTGACCTATGCATGTTGGAACATTAAGAAAAATAGTTTTTAGACAATATATAGTTATCGTTTCTCCATTTTAAGTTGCTCGTGGCTTAGTGGGAAGTATGGAATAGCTCGCCCAAACGAGAAGATGCCGTTTCCTCATTTGTATGTCACAGTTGATTTTGAGAAAGAAAATTCGGAGGCTGCTTTCAAAAATGAGATCGATGAAAAGTTAAAATGGAAAGTATCTAAATACATCGAATTACGATGTAAACCATTGAAAGAAGCAAAGTTTCGAATGCTGTCTAAAATTATAGCGGAAAGAACCGAGGGTAGTTTTGGAACATTGACAATGTTCTGCCTTAAGAATGGTATGTACTATGCCTTGACCTGTGCTCATACTGGTGTTGTCAATTATTTGGATGACCGTCAACAACAGTATAGTGACGGAGACCAATTTGTGGAAATCCAAGAATCTTATATTGTCCCAATTAATGAAGACAGCATGGAATACTTTTACAACGGACAACCGATTGTCCGTGTTCCGGATGAAACGAGAGTGGTGTCTAATGAAGAAGTCGATATTATGTACATCGTCATTGGTAGGGAGGAAGATTTTCAGGAGCTTGATGTAAATAGGCAGATGACTCTCAATTTAGAGTTGGAGGGAGCAAACGAAGAGATTTATGAAAAATTTTGTTAGTTTCCAAATGATGTCAAAGTTCGAACAGCAGACGCAATACTTGGCGATATTTGCCGTCCGAATTGGACGTATCGTAGCCCGAATTCGAATCAAATTGTTTACCAGAATGCGGTACTTGCTCAAAGTAGTAACCAATCAATTGATTCCGGGGACTCCGGAGCCTTAGTGTATTTTCTAAAACAAAAAATAATTGGAAACCGTTTGCATATGTTGTTGCCGCATTTAAAGATTATGAATCTGATTCCTCCAGACCAAGGAAAAGTTACATCTGCTTGAAATTGGACAAGGCTTTGAATGGACTGAATATTAACAACGCTGAATATTTCGAAAGATCACGAAAGCAACCTGGAGCATCAACCTGACGAAGGTAAGTAAAATCTTACGTCGTCTTCTTCATAATTGTCTGACTATCAGTATTGGGGTGAGTATTGATATAAATGACCCGGTGGAGCGATATTTTTATTGTTAATCAGCTTATATGTGCAAGACAATCTTATCCCAGTCTAATACATTTTCTCGTTTATAGGTCAGAATTAAGTGAGCTTATTTAAAGAGTCTCAACAAAGTGCAAATCCTCGTAGTATAAGACAAAACCTAACAATTAAAATGATAATAATACTCTTTGCTTAATGTAGCCCCTATAGCGAAAACTTCATTTATTTACTTTCCTCTGTAGATTTTTAAACATCTAGATTTCATGAGTAAGTCAAAACAAATGTATATTACATACTGCACGTTTTTATTCATTTACATTGTCATGTAGTTACTCTTACTATAAAAACATTTACTAAGTATTTGCCATTCAACATGACTAATTTCAGTACTTTGCCGTCATGTATTTATAAATAAATATTTGTATGGTTTGCACTTATTTAATTTAATCAATTAAAAAGCAAAATTTCTCGAAAGATGAAGTTATGCATTAATTATGAGGATGTAACTCTTTTGCTCCAAAAAAAAAAACAAAAACAAGCTTCAAAGCTACCACAGGTAGCAAGCGACAACGTTTCGTATATGACGATCTTGTTTTTTTTGCAAGTGAAATAATGTGAAATAATATTACACGTTCTTCAACAAATTTACTCTTGCCCAATACTTGTTCTTCATTTAGAAGACCCAGTGTTTTCACCTGAAGATCATAACCATGTATGCAACTCTCACAAGGTGGAGTACTGCATAACACTTAAGTTTCTGGCTTGTTACTTGTCAGATGACTATATACGTTGTAGTGATGGAAGTCTGTGGTCCAATAACTTTATGACTTAGATAAGATATTTGGGCTAAGCTCTTACGTGAATTGTTTACCTTAGGTCTTTTGCAACAAACTTTCTCACATTACATCTGTGTTTGAGATGTGAACATGTAGTAAGATATAGTTTGGTATTTTGCTCAAGAGTTTTGGCTTATTTTTGACTTGATATATTGATATAGCACACTATCATTTGATTTGTTACTATATTATCTCTCTATGCAGTCTCCAAAGATAAAATTTCGAATGCAACTTTTTGGTGCTAGAACTCAAACAAATTTATATTCGAAGTGCACTTTTTGTTTGACGTGTGATTCCATCAGTTCATCCTGGGGACTCCTGACGACGATGAAGCTTACCTCATCTGCTTGAAATTGGACATAGCTTTGAATGAACTGAATCTTAACGTTGGTCAATATTTTACAGATGACGAAAAAACCTTCCACGACAACATTTCCCTTGAAAAACTTCCCATGACATCAGTCATAGTTATTTTTATTGGAACTAACTTTTACATTTTCTTTTTAATTCTCCAAAAATTAACAATATACAAGTCTCGATTGAGTGTCTTTGTAAAAGTTTGGTCATTTATATAAACAAGATCAATCATGTTTCCCCAGTCCTTATGCATTCCTTGATGGCTGTCGTGTAGTAACAGTTATTTTAAAGCATTTACGAGGTACTAACTCCTTATTGATGATGTAGTAATCCAATAATTATGAATATATGAAACTTTCACTTAGTAAAGAACTAACCATATAACATAAATGAAAATCTTACATATCTTACATCCTGTTTTTTCGCTATAAGAGAAACGAGAATATTAGAAACAGTCGTCCATTTTCGTTCGTGAAGAATTTTGATGCTAAGTACATTTAGCGTTTAAATTATTTTTAATTCATTTTGTTTGTCTATTTCATAATTATAAATAAACCTTGTATGATTTTTGGTTTTTTGTTTAATCATTGGTCAGCAAACATGTTGTAACGATACATGAACTATACAAAATAACTTTTTTCTTGTTTGTTTTTATTAACTTTTCGTTAGCAATATGACTTAGTCTTTCCGACAGTAAATACTATGTTATTTAACGTATGCAAGTTATTCAACAAATCAACTCTAGCAGCATGGCACGACACTGGTTAGTGTCGTTCATGAAAATAACAGAAATGTTGATAAGTTTTCTAATTCTAATTGCTTCTTGAAAATTTATGTTCTAGTAACATGAATTTTATTTTTTTAAATGGAAACATCGTCATTAATATTGTCTAGCAATAATATAAATAAAATTAATAAATACTTACGAAATGAACTCACATGAAAATAGTTTAATAACGATAAAAGTTAGTTAAGTAAAGGAGAAATATATTATTATGGGTTTAGTATATGTAGATATCACAATGATTCACAGTTTGTTTATCATCAACGCTTCAGTGTGAGTAGATATGAGATATATGATGGATATATATGGGTTAATGTTTTTTATAGATCAAATTTCCTCTCTAGGCCCTTGTTGGTTTGTTAGTTTGCACCGATCATTTATGCAGTTTAGGAACTTGTGTTTGATTGCTGTGGATGGCAGACGTTTGTGGCTGTTCAAAAGACATCAGGCCATGGAAAAATAATAAGTTTTATTATTGATTGAAGAAAGTAACTGGGGACAAGTAAGATGAATGTTTTGAATTTTTTTTTTAAATGAAAACATCGTTATTAAATGTTAGCAAAAATATAAATATTTACAAAATGAACTTAAATGAAAATAGTTTTTGCAGGTATTGGTTAATGGTTATAGATAAAATTTCCCCTTCAGGCTCTTTTGTTGATTTTGTGCATATTAGCTTGTAATTATTCAAGTATGTAATTTATAATTAAATTTGAATGAGATATAGTGAGATAAGTTGCAGTATAATATTAAATGAAAGCTTGAACAAGGGCTACAAAGTGAAGGCTTATTTTTATTTGTGGTATCACCTGACATGATTAATGCAATTATACTAAGATAAAATGAAAAATGCCATGACATTAAAAAGTCTAGTAAATGAATGTCCGAGGTTAGATAAAAACAATGTCATGGGTAAATGTGGGACATATTTCTGGAAAAACATTGGACAAGTGTTTTAGGATTGTTTGTGATTATTTCTTTGAAGCTCAAGGAAAAGTGAATGAATTTATGTGTAAATTGTTGGTGATCGATATGAAGGTATCAAGCACTTGTAATATGTTGAAAATGAAGACTTATTTAGTTGAGAAATTTTAAGCATTTATTATGTGCTATTATTTTGTTTACCAGTAATTATATCTAACTTTATTAAATCAAGTATTTGCTTATTTAATATAGGCCTATTCTCCTGAAGACATTCCTCTGTTGTGAAAAAATACTTTGGAAAAATTCGCACCCTTGCTGGCCAGAGTTGGCCAAAGATCGTATTTTCACGTAAAGGTGCACCTGATTTTTGTATTATTGAAAAGAGAATTCCTTACATAAGTGCACCTAAAGCTATTTCTTACTAATAGTTTTCATTAACACATTATTTTGTTATGCAATCAAAAAACACCTCAAATATCTGCAATTGGGCTCCAAAAAGTATATAATTGTTGGATTCCATTATTATTATGCTAAATTCATGTGAATTTTTTCATAATTTGGATACAGTCACTGAATGAAAATGTATCTGCAATGAGTATTTTTAATGTTTGTTTACAATTACTTATTACTGTCTATCTAGTTTGCACTAATATTGAGCTGTACAATTTTCTGGTAGAGGTCTCCCTGTCTGTTTACAACATTGAAGGTGAGTTATTGTATTTGTCCAAGAAATTAGGCTATGCAAAATAAGAGAGTGGCAAATATCATGTCTGTGATGACACTCTATGCACTGCCTTTTTATCATATTTCTTATTTACAAAAAGTTCAAACCTTTTTTCAATCCCCTACAAATAATGACAATTCTGTTGTTACTATCAGGAGTTCAAAGTATCATGATAAAACAAGTTGTCAATCAATGAATTCATTGTTTCAAAATAGTAATATTGTTTAAACAGAATTTAAATACCATTTCTTGAAGCATAGATAAATGGAATCAAACATAACTCATATTTCATCGCAACTGCCGGATGGTCGCATAACAATTGCGAATTGTTAAATTTATGCATACTAGAAAGTTCTTATCCTGTGTTAAAGTGACTGCAACTCCACTTGTTTCAATCTTTTTGTGTCTCCTGTTTTACAGGCTTCCCACATGTACGCAAAGCGTACCTATTTTTGTTAATGCATTTTGTCAAATTCACAGAATGTCCGAAGTTTTTTCATGAGCAGTTACAAGGTCAACAAAATGATGACAGAAACGATAAAGTAAGGATTTTTTCTTGCTGCCCAAGCCATCATCAAGTATGATATAAAGAAAATTCTAGTTGAATAATTTAAGAAACAGTCCATTCATAAACAATTTGTTTTTTGCTATTGGTAGATTTACGCAAGATTTATTGGAATTAATGTTTATTTGTAATAACTGTTTATTTGTAGACGATACTTTTTTCAAACACATTTCAACTTTACGATTGTGAGCATACTGAAATGCAGTCATTTACGAAATCTGCTTGGAGAAATCTCCATAAAGCATGTTTTTCCAGCTATGATCTTTTCAATTTGAAATGCTACATTGTAAAAGAAATATTTATTTCTCTCAAGGTCACGAGCTGCAGAAGAAGGCATTCGTGCTGTCAGACGGAAGCAAAAACGGTGAAGAAGAGGAGGTTGTTGAAACTTTTAAAGGTGAAAGAATTTTTACGAACATAGCTGTGACATGTTCTTTACTGGATAAAAACTACACGTTGCTATTCTAGATTGCATTTGTGAATTCTTTCAATACCTAATAACCATTTTAAAAACATTTCACGCGTCAGGCGTTTGATTCAATCGCCAATAGTTTGTATTGGATTTTTCTATAAGATAGAAAGTCAGTCTCTTGGCGATTAAATCTAACTTCCAATGCCGAAATGAAAAACTCTTAACATTTTGTTATTACCTTTATACAAAACAAAAGACTTCACATATTCAATTTAGTTTTTTTGAGCGTAACAGTCTTTAATTCCATGTACAAATCCCCAATTTCTGTTTTTAACACATATCTTTCAGTCTCTTATTAGTTACAGTTAACAAAAAATAAGTTGAACATTTACCTGGAAGAATTCGTTTAGAATGATAATAGGAAAGTAAAAATAGACAAATTCTCGGTATCGCTAGCATCGAATGAACAAAGATCTTTTTCTTTTTATTTTAAATAGTTGCATCTTAAATAGTTATGCAATGAAGTGTGTCATTGACACGCGTAATATCATTTACCATTTGAGGATTTACCAGGAAAAATTCGATTAGAATGATAATAGGAAAATAAAAATAGACAAATTCTCGGTATCGCTAGCATCGAATGAACAAAGATCTTTTTCTTTTTATTTTAAATAGTTGCATCTTAAATAGTTATGCAATTAAGTGTGTCATTGACACGCGTAATATCACATTTTTCAATGAATTCTTGCATTTAGATGAACGGATTATTCTAAATTCTAATACTGTATATCTTACATGCCAACACCCTTAAGGTTTTTTTCTTCTCATTAGGTGTTGCATGGTAGCTCCTTGTTTGATTCGGTTGTCCAAATTTAGAATCTCCTGTGTTTTTTTTAAATCTAGTCGACTGTAATCAATGGTTAATTACAAACATTAGACAGTTATACTATAAAACTTCCATTTGCTGTGATTACTATAAGCGGATTGTGTTTTGATTTATGCTTTTAAATTTCTTGGTAGAGATTTGTACGGAAAAAAGTAACTTCCAATTACGTTCACATTGACAAAGACACCATTGCCTTACTGAGTTTAAGGTGTCCTTGATTGTGATAGCTTCATCATAATTGATGTAAGTAAACCATTGCACTTAATATGTTTTAAATGAAGTTTATAAAGATGAAACTTAACGATAGTAGTCTTTTCTATACCTTGTTATAGCTACCTTGTTGCTGTGACAAATTTTTTGTCATTTTGTTGTTTTGTTATGTAATCATAATTTTTAGAATTTTTGAATAATAAGCTTTCCCCTAAGATGTAGCTACTTTGCTACTGTTATGATAAATATTTTTGTTTCGACAATAATTTGTAAAAAAAAACGCCCTCATTTGGCGTGCATAAAATGATTATCGTAGATTTTTGACGATTAACTTCATACACCTGATTTTTTCAGGTCCTGAGACGATTGCTTAAATTGTCCAGCAAACTGCGAAGATCATATCTTCATTTAATTTCAAATACTGCACTGCATAAAACATTCATACAACATTCCTTTCACGAGAAAACATGAGCCCAACAATATGGACCTGCTCACCGCTGTGTGACTTCATAGCTCAGTTGGTCAGAGCACTGCACCGGCACCGCAGAGGTCATGGGCTCGAATCCCGTTGAGTCACCTGATTTTTTCAGGTCCTGAGACGATTGCTTAAATTGTCCAGCAAAGTGCGAAGATCATATCTTCATTTAATTTCAAATACCGCACTGCATAAAACATTCATACGACATTCCTTTCACGAGAAAACATGAGCCCAACAATATTGACCTGCTCACCACTGTGTGACTTCATAGCTCAGTTGGTCAGAGCACTGCACCGGCACCGCAGAGGTCATGGGTTCGAATCCCGTTGAGTCACCTGATTTTTTCAGGTCCTGAGACGATTGCTTAAATTGTCCAGCAAAGTGCGAAGATCATATCTTCATTTAACTTCATACAGTTGGATGTTTTAAAAAATTGATACAAGTAACGTTTAACAATGATGAGTACAATTTCTGAAAATTTTCTTCCTGCGTATGTTTAATTTTTATAAATTTTCATCTATGTTAAGGCTAATAATCACGGAAAGTTGCTTTGTTGACATACGGCGTTGAAGGTTATGATGTTATATGTAATTTAAACGCCTTAATGATTGGATATTAAAACTGTGCAAGAATTCTTTTTTAATCTTTTCATTTCAACGAGTGAGAAAGACGAAGATTTGATAAATATGTACTTATGATTGCAGAATTTCCTGGATAATACAGAATTTATAGAGTTGCCTTCAACGAATGAAAAGTTACTTCATGGATGACGGTAAGTTATATACAATCAAATTTATGCGAGACCCTCGTAAATTGTGTGTAAGCTATACATGCAAAAATATGGACATATTTTCCAACATTTTATCGTAGAACATACATACTCGTTATTGATTTTTTTACCTCGATAATTGTCGTCTAGAGATTTTATGTCTTTATGCACCAACTATAGATATATCTTTAAGGTTTTTTTAGAGTCGAATATTATTGACTAAAATACTGTCACACGTTTGGTGACTTTTCAATTGGCAGAACGTTACGAGTCTAAAGGTGAAGGAACGGAATATTACCCCGACTATGAAAGTAAGTTATACTATCAAATTTTTGTATAAGGCACTTATAAATTGTATCTTCCATACGTAGTGATATGCTTTCTAACATTCAACATATACTCCTTGATTATGCTTTTCCTTGTTATTTCGTCATCTCAGGATATTTTACGTCTCCTTGCGCCCAATATTTTTAAGCATTTTCGATTCAAAATCCCTTCATGAGATTGTGTAAGATAATAATAATATTCATAATAACTATAAAAATAGCTTAAGAAGCATTTGTGCAAACTGGACGATTTTCCAAAGCTATAATTCACATAGTTTAGGTGTTGAACAACACAAAATAAGTCTGTTTTAAGTTTTAGTCGTCACCAAAAAAGAGCTTTTGAGAATTTAGATGAACCTTCGGCATACAAGTTTCAGGAACCGCCGAGGGTCGATAATTTGGGGGGGCTCATATTCAAATATTCATGTTTTAATCCTTAGGAATTAATGGATTTCAAAAGATCTTAAGCCTGCATATATGAATATATGAATATTAGCCCTCCCCCCCAATTATCGATCTTCCGAAGTGCCTGTTTATATGTTCCTTGTCATTTTGAGTAAAAACGCGACAAAGTGTTGGATATGAATAGATCGAAATATTGTATCATTCTGATTACAAATTGTATTACAATGCGAAATAATACTGGTCAATTTTGGTAAATTTCAGCAGAAACAGATCCGTCCGCCATTTTTTCTGATCCGTTCCGCCGTTCAGTGGTTTTATTTGTTTGATTTTGTTTCCTAAAAGAAAATTAGAGGAGTTTGTAAAGATGCGTTCTGGCGACCCCCATATGCCTTCTGGTAGTGGTGTCTCCCCTTGAATCATTTGTGTGGTATCCCCCCTGGATGTACCCCTGCCACAACGCCAATGGTTCGGTGTTTCATAGATATACATAGGATCGATACATAGGCGTAGAAACAGATTTAAATTTGGGGTTAAAGTCGACGAGTATAGTCTATACTCCACCCTTATTTTTTGAAGCTTTAGGGAGTCTAGTACAAACATTGAAAATGGAGAAAGTCATGAAACCTTTATAATTTAGTTGTACTTCATTACAATACACAAAGTGCAAGTATAGTTCAAAAATCAATACATTGCACAAAACGAACGAATTTAACTAATAGCCTAAACGATTGGTCGTACTATTTGCAAGCTACGAATTCTAGTTCAATGTCAGACTAAGATGTTTTCACTCTCTGAAGAGTTAAAAATGGACCTTTGTTGTATGCATTAAATGGGTACAAAGAAGTTTATGAGCTTTACTACACATACAACGACGTACGTTTTCATGATGCCGCTTATCGTGCTAATTCAAGTGATATCCATAATTCGCATTTGATCTTAGCATAAATTTTGCTCGTTTGCGGTCTTTACTAAATCTTACAGTATTGATATTGTTATCCTTCTTAAGTCAATTTCTACTTCGTTCCTGGACTTTCTGTAGTCTGTGTGATGGGTAGATAAAATATAACCCCTATATGCACCTATCACAAGTTCAATATTTGCCTAAGATCAAACTTTATTTGTCAAACCTGAGCTCCAGTTCATATCAAATACTGCTATCCGCGTGCAACACTGCATACCTTTTTTAAAAAAACGGCATCGATCGCTGCAGTTCTGACAGTAAAACCTAGTCTCGCTCAAAGATTTTATGGTAGATTAAAGTGAGCCACTTCAGCCATTAGTCAACCCAAAGGACAAGAATGAGCTACACAATATACCAATACAGCCTTCGGTTCTTCTCTTTGAATTGGGTCAAGTAACTGCATTCAGATGTCAAGTCATAGGTATTTGCTGCCCCATCATGTGCTTGTTTATGACTGTTCAAGTCAGGGGAAGGTTACCGCGAATAAGGATGTTGACTATCAAGTCGCCATACAACTTGTGAATAAACAATTTAATGAAATAAACCAAATTACAAATTATTACTTTCAAATTACTTTAAGGACCGTTTGGTCCCACGTACAACATTCAACAACAACAATTTGTCTTTTACTCTAACTAAACAACAACACCCTTTCAAACGTCACTTCCTGCTCCCCATGCCGTCCAAAGCGGCAATCATACTGTAGCCACACCGGCCCCTAAATGAAAATTGCAACGTAGCAATCCATTTACAACCATATTAAGCTACCGTGAAATTTGATTAACACAACAAGAATATAACTCTCAAATTCTAAATTATTTAGGTATATAAACTTCAATTGTCCATCTCAAGTAGACATAATTTAGTCACGGGACAGATCAAGGTTACCGTGTTCATCTTGTAATCTCCCTTTCGTTGATGTTTGGCTCTTATCAGTACTAGATCTCCTTCTTTAAAATTCCGTCTCGGTATATACCATTTCTTTCTCTCCATTAATGTTAGTACGTATTCTTTAACCATCTACGCCAAAAATTATTTGCCAAATATTGAGCCTGCTTCCAATTCTTCTTACAGCACAAATCATTTTTGTCAAATAATCCCGGGGGTAAACTAGTACTTGCTCTTAAATGCAATAAGTGGTTTGGAGTTAGAGAATCGTCATCTTCAGGACTGTCACTGTTGCGCGTGAGAGGTCTTGAATTCAGGATTAGAACCACCTCTGCAATCAAGGTTTGCAGGACTTCGTCTGAAACTACTTGTTCTTTAAGAATTGCTTTGAGGATTTGTCTAACAGATCGTTTCATTCTCTGCCATACGCCTAACATATGGCTCGCTGAAGGCGGGTTAAAGTGCCACTTAATTCTTCTTTGCGTACAAAAGTTGTTCACTTTACTTTGATCCCATTCTTCAATTCCTTTGTTTAGTTTCTTGTTAGCACTCACAAAATTTGTTCCTCTATCACTCCTGATTTTCTCGGGACATCCTCGATTGCTAATAAATCTCCTGATAGCTGTAATCATCGAGTCTGTATCCAAGGAGCGTGAAACATGTGAAAAGGCAGCCATGTATTTCCACCAACGATCGACCTCTTTTCACCAAAATGGATCCAAAATAGTCGATTCCTACTATAGTAAAAGGAGGTTTTTGAGGTGTCACTCGACTTTCTTGTAGATCTGACATTAGCTGCTCACCCAAACGAGCCTTTCTTCTTTGACAAGCCAGGCAACTTCGTACAACGCGTCGAACTGCTGTTCTTCCTTTAATTATCCAGAATTCCTTTCTTAGTGATGATAAGACGGATTCTTGACCCATATGAACTACTTCAGCAGGATGTGGATGAATTATCATATCTGTGATGGGATGCTTGAAGGGTAGAATAATAGGATGTTTTGATTTCCCATTGATTGGCGCATTAACAAGCTTGCCTCCAACCTTTAGTAAGCCGTTCACCATCTTTGGATTTAATAGTCAAATGGAGATTCCTGATTTTCGTAGTAGTGCCTTGTCAAGCTCCTTACTATTTTCTGGAACTGCAAACAGTTCAATTCTTGAGAGAATGTGGTGTTCTGTACATATGCGAAGATCTCACTTTCGGCGGCATCCAATTCTTCCATTGTTAGTCGTCCAACTTTAAATTCCGATTCCAAATGAGGACCAGAAATAACTTTCCATTGTCTCGCCTTGCTAAGAAGATAATCCTTATAACGAAACAACCAAACAAACGAACACCTCAACTTCCATCAAATGGAGTGGCGTGAAATCAACATATCCAATAAGCGAGGTCGCTCTGCAGTCACGTAAATTTGGGCTTCCTTCCTTACTTCTCGGTCTTCATCCTTTAGTTCAGGAATTGCTATCCCCTTTGGCCAATGACTTTCATCCTCTCAAAGGAATGCAGGACCTTTTAACAATTGGCCTTTGTTTCTTAACACGTGCAATTTAACGCCCTTGGAGCCTTCATTAGCGGGATTGTCGTACGGTTCACGTAATTCCACTCGGATAGGTGCGATCCACTACGAATCACTGACAAACGGTTGGACTCGAATGTGTGAAATCTTTTGCTTTCGTTGTTAATACATTTGAGAACTGACGTTGAATCTGCCCAGTAACAAACTCCTTGCACTACCAAATCCAATTATTCTCGAATAATCTTCGAAAGTCTTACGGAAATGACGGCAGCCGTTAATTCCAGTTTTGGTATAGAAATCTCCCTTCATGGAGCGAGTCTAGCCTTCTCAATTACAAATGAGCAGTGTATTTCTTTGTTTGCATTCTTTAGACGCAAATATGCCACCGCCAAATAGCCAAGTCGAGAGGCGTCGGAGAAAATATGTACACTCACATCTTTAACTTCTTTGAATCCTGCAGGTTTAAAACAGCGGCGAACCCGAATTTCTTGTAGCTTTGGGGGATCAGCTACCCAACGTTTCCATTGCGAAAGTTCGTTCGCTTGAATGTGATCATCCCATCCAAGTCCCTTTCTACAAAGCATTTGGCAGTATTAACTTTGCCTTCATAACAAACGGAGCAATAAAGCCTAAAGGATCAAAAAGCGACTATACTGCTGACACTATCTTCCGTCGAGTGACGGGACCTTCGTTTTCTAACTGCAACATTCTTTCCACAACAACCCACACAAACATATCCTCTTCTGTGTTCCACTTTATTCCAAGAGTACTTTCTGTGGGAAGCTTATCCAATTTTAAATTCTTTACGGATTTTGCTTTCTCAGTTTCGTGAATCGTTGCTATCAAGCTCCAACTGTTGCTATACCAATTTGTAAGACGGAATCCTCCCCTTTTCAATAGTTGACGCAATTGACTCGCTAAACTTAGTGCTTTCTCTGGTTCGCTTATTGATTTCATCAAGTCATCGGCATACATGTTACGTTTCACCGTCTCTACTAATAGTGAGTCGTGTTCTTGTCAATACAGCTTGGGAATCTTCAGCAAACAGAAATTGACGATACTAGGAAACGACGTTGCTCCGAACAAATGTCTCGTCATTCCGTATTCTTCAATGTCTCCAGAAAGGTCGTTATTTGGCCACCATAAGAATCGCAATGCGTCCCGATCCTTTGGTTCCACTAGAACTTGATGGAACATTGCTTATTCATCAGCAACTACTGCAACCAATTCCTCTCTGAAGCGAATTAACACGCCTGTTAGTAGATTTTTCTGATTCGGACCCTGTAGAAGTTGCTGATTCAACGACGTTTGCTCATATCTGGCTGCACAATCATAGACGACTCTTACCTTTTCGGGCTTTATAGGATGAGTAACCGGGTGATGTGGTAGGCACCACGTTGGTCTGTCGTTTACGTCTAGCTGATCCTGAGGAATTCTTTCTGCGAAGCCTTTATCAATGTAATCGTTTATTGTGGCTTGATACTTTTCCTACAGGTTTTCATCCTTGAGGAGCCGTTTTTTCAAAAGCAAGCCTCTGCGTTCTGCGATTATTCTATTATTGGGTAAGGAGGGCGGTTTCTAATGCTCCACTACGTACAGAGAGGTTACAGCCAATCAACTTCTCTTCCAAGGAGACAGCTGCAATGACGTCACGTAGCATGCCGTCACATGACAATTGTTCAAGAAACATGATGCCAAGTGATTTAGTGGGAAATTATACCAACATGGGCTACAGTCAATATGGCGATGATGTGTCTAGTGTTGATCATCAACAACCTGTTGTTGTTGTGAGAATATTTGATCATCCAGGAAAGTCGTACTCTTACATGTCAGTTGTACTACTGCAGGTCAGCAATACTATTATAGGTCAGTCGTACTACCACAGGGCACTTAAACTATTACAGATCAGTTGTACTACCACAGACCAGTTATACTATTACAGGTCAGTTGTAGTACCACAGAGCAGTTATACTATTACAGATCAGTTGTACTACCACAGAGCAGTTATACTATTACAGGTCAGTTGTAGTACCACAGAGCAGTTATACTATTACAGCTCGGTTGCAGTACAAGTCACTGACTTGAATTCAACTGCACACGTAATCCTACTCTGTTATTTATTCTCCTCCAATGGCTTACTATGCTTAATTTTATCAAACACAAACGTTGTCTTTCAGGAATGTATTGCTATCGCTAATTGGAGGGGGGGCTCTTGTTCATATATGCATGTTATAAATCCTTAGATAACAATACATTTTAAAAGATAGTAATTCAGCATATCATGAATATATGAATAAGAGCCCCCCCCCCAATTAGCGATAGCAATACATCCCTGTTTTCTTCTCCTTTGGTTTTTAAAAGTTCTAAAATTACCATTGCTCTTTGTAGACAAAGGAGATCATTGCCAAGAAACCACTCAAGACTGAACTACAAAAAATCTTTTAAATCTTCGACGTCTCGCAGACGAAAACCTTTACCATCTGCCGGGACAATAAACCTTCGAAATTCGCCGTCAAGACATGAAAATTATGAAGATGTTTACTCTTATTACTTACCACCTAGAAGAAAAGCCAAATATCAAGGCTCAACTCGTACACAAGATTACATGAATCACGAAATGAAAGTTTGTGAAGCTAAAAGTCATGGTTCTGGTAATAGTAAAAGATACATTATTGAAAACCATCCAAAACTATCCCATGCTAAAAATGCTATAACCTGGACTTATTACAAAATTTCTGGTCGATCACAACTCAGGTCACGTTCGGATGCGTCAGAAGTAGATTATAAATCATCGCCTGTCCTTCAAGACCAAAGTAAGGATCAAAATTTTCAAGCAATTTATTCCGACAAAAAGTGGGAAGGAATCACATGACCCAGAAATCATGTCCATTGTCAGTGGCAGTGAGTTTTCTGAATTTTTACCCAGTCCTCCACGGCCAAGCGACAGTCAATCAGATATCTCTACGGATGGATATTCCCGTGGTAGTTATAAATCATTTAAAAACAAACTTGAAAGAAACGTTAAAGAAAACAGGGAGGTTGTTGTTGAAGAGAGAAGTCAATCAGATCAAGAAAAACATAATTAATCATTTGAAGAAACTTTAGAGTTATTTATATGTAAAATAAAGTAAATGTATTTGATTTTTTTGCTTATCCTTGCACTGCTATGAGTCTACTCTATTTACTAACTTAAGTTTCGAGAATCTTTCACATCATTGCTATATATTGTCTACAGTCAAAGAACATTCTCTTATTTTCTATAAACAGCGTTTACGTAATGGCCAGGCGCGTGAGAGGAATGGAAGCGAAAGTAGAAAAAACGTCGGTTCATTTAATAAAGAGACGAGCAGTTCATCGTGGACTCATAATGACAGCGGTTTTAGAAAGAAACATCATGTGCCAATAAATGATGTTCAGGTCCTACCACAAGAACCTGTTTTTTTTCGGTTTGAAAGTAGCGATGAGGAGAAAGAAAGTGGAAGTTGAATGATTTATTAACAAGCTATTTTAGACTTATGAATGGTTCATTTTATATGGTGAATTTACTATCTATGTAATAACTTTCTATTTATTTTTCATACATTTGAAGGACATTTAAATCAACAAATTATTCATTCTCCTCCCCTCCCCTCATGGAGAACATATAGCATTTTTTCAAAAAAATGTACTTCCTACTGTTATTTTAAAATTTCTACTTTGTTAAAATAATCTTTTTATGACGACATTGCAAACAAGGCGTTATTATTGATGTTTCTAACCTGACGGTAAACGTTATAGAAATACACTTGTTGAAATACCTATTGGAGACTGTGATCGAAGATCAGTGGTTTATCTGTAAGTTTACCAGACTTTGTTATATTGTATTCTTTACATTATTAAATGCTGATATTCTTTAAAAATACTTGAGTTTGTGATTTCTTTTAGGGTGTATATATTAACAACGTTAAGAAAATTATGTTGCGTCAGACGTTAATTTTCATTGCCGAAAGTTTGTGTATGTAACTTATTTATAACTCCCTTTACAAATACTTCGATTTTATATAGAAGTAAAGATTTCTACCCATCACGCAAAAAAACATAAAGTTTGTAGGCAGTAACTATACGGACTTAAACAATTCTATAGCATTAGAGTGTTTTTTTTGCTGCGTTTTTAATCACAACTAAACTTTCATACATACAGAATCTCGACAGTGTTATATTTAACGTTTTCACGATGCTTTAGCTTTGTTAGCGTGTATACTTTCCCTTCTTCATGACAATTTTATGAACTACGTTGACGGAAGTGGACACGCAAGCAAATTGTATTATGAGGAATATAATTCTTGAGAAAACTGTTCTTGGTGTTGTCTAAATTAATTTTTTCATTTATGATATGTCTATAAATCATTTTGCATTGATATTTTAAATATTGTCATTCGTGAACATTTTCATGAAATGATTTAACAAGAAACGATTGCTTGTCTTCGATTAGCTCATCGTACAACTGAAAATGTCGGAAATGTCTTGTTCTCTGATGGCTCTGAATCCGAGAAAAACAAAGGATATGTGGATATGCTTTACGGACTCAATACAAGAACCACCCTCCCTATTTATTGGAGAAGAAGAAATAGAAAGAGTTACTAATTTCAAACTTCTTGGCGTAACATGTCAAAATGATCTTGAATGGAATGAACATGTACACCAAATTACAAGCAAGGCAAATAAGACTATATCATCTTCGACTTTGTAGGAAGTCTCAATTACCTTCAGATGTTGGATTATTAACATATAAATCAAAAATAAGACCAGTATTAGAGTATGCATCGGCAGTCTGGGCAGGACTTCCACATTTTTTACAGCAAGAAATTGAACGTGTACAAAGAAGTTTGAAAATTTTACAACTAGATAAAAACTACTTGCCCTCTTTGAAAAGCACACGTGAACTAGCAGCTACCCAAGAGATCAAAAGGATTATAGAGGAACCTGATCATCCATGCAAATTTTTAGTACCTTATCCTAAAGAAAATTCGCACGAGTTGCGTAAAAGCAAAACTTATAGTTTTTTATCTCGGACCAAATGTCATAAACAATCTTTTATTGCTAGATCTTGTAAATATATATATAATAAAGTTAACATATAATTCTTAGTATAGTATGATAAATATATAGAAAATCAATGTAAATTCATCGTACTTTTTAATCTGAAGAATAATAATAAAAACCTTTAATCCCTAATCCTTCTATGTTAGATACTTCTGTATATCAAACATTATCTGGATTTTCCAGCATTTGAGTTAAATTAGTTCCTTCAAGTTTGCATTTCATTACCTATATTCGGGGTGGAGCGCATAGTTTCAGTCTACTCTATGTTTTAAAGAGTAGCTATATTCCTGTAGTCTTTGTGAACGTTAAGTAAATTACAACTATTGCAAATATCAAGGACTATCGATGATCGACTTCATATATACGTTAATGTTTGAAAAAAAGAAAGTTACCGATTCATTAAATGCACCATGCTAAGCAAAACAAGAATGATGAGAATATTGAATAAATGACTTGTTCTCTCGCAGTCGGATATGAATGCAATATGAATACGATATGAATAATACATGTTTTTATTAATTATCTTTTCTTTTATAATAAAGAAATGTATTACAACGCCGCTTTCAACAGATTTTACTCTGTCTTAAAGCTTTTGTTTGAGCTAAATTGATTTAATCTTTATTTCTAACATCTGCATTCTTCAAAAATTATCATTTTCCTATCTAAGTAAAAACAAGTTTCTTTTACTGCTGGGATAATGACGATATTGAAAATCATATTTATCGTTCAAATGATCATGACGTTTTTAAATTGTTGTTAAGTTTCGATTAATTCTCAAAATCATTTTTTCATTTCAAATCAAATCAAATCATTAATTTATTTCAACTAAATCATTTTTTTTGAAATAGCTCTTTCGCTCAATGTCCGGGCTCGTCAGCATGCCTATGAATTACAAATGCCATTTACATCATAGATCAATGACAAATGGTTAACTTGTGAATCCGGCATGGACAGTCTTGTAAAAAGCTGACTGAGCAATCTGGTTTTCAGGCGCCAGAAACTCGCCTTTCACACCTTTGCATGAAAACAAAGGAGTTCGGTTAGACAAGGGAGACTTTTTGGAACATTTCATGGGGATACAATTGCTGAATTTTGCATCTCATCCAGTCGTTTCTAACCCTTTAGGAATATGTAATTTGGTCGTGCCGGCCTGAGTGAGCACGATTAAAAACGGGCGAAAGACGCTGCTTGTTCTTTTAGGGCATTGATTAAGACAGGCATCGGGTTAAAACACAAGTATAGTGTGTGCAATATGATTTATGTGATGAATAACCGACTATTTTTTGTGTTTCCTCTATTGTACTTGCTTATGTCGCACACCAAAGGCATTTTGGAAAGCATTTGCGTGTTAAAATTTAAACTAAGCCTTTTCAAAACTCCTCCAATCTCCGCCACCAAAGGTCGCCAGGTCACTATATCTTGCTGTGATCTTTTCAAATTGAGAAAATTTATGTAGGTATGAGGACTTGCAAAACAAATCATTCTTGTTGTTTTGATCCTTGTAGTCAGACGGTAGTAAAAACGGTGAAGAAGTCAATAGTGTTGAATTACTTGAAGACGGAGAAATTTTTGTAAGTTTTTCAGACTTAGTTGTATTTTACTCTCATCAATAGTCAATATTAAAAACCGTAACGCTGTAAAACGTAAGGTTGAATTTTGCGGATTTTTTCATTCATTAGAAAATTCATTGTGTCAGAAGTTAAATTTGATCACATAAAGCCTGTCTTTCTTCCTTATTTATATGTCTATTTTCCGAGTACAAATCTTCAGATTATATTTTTAACAGGATAGTTCTTTGCAACTCACGGGAATCAAAGTTAAAATTATTTAGGCAATAACAATTCAAACTAACACGATTTCATAATAATTGGTGTATTTTTTGTACAGTTTTTATTCCCTAGTCAAGATGCAGATTTTCGATTTCCAAAAAACAAGGAAATAACATAGGTTTTTACTTTGTTAACGTGTATTCATGACAAGAGTGGTATGATATACGTGGCAGGAAGAGCACACGCAAGCAAATTTTCTTATGAAAAAGAATATGCTTGGAACTGATTTCAATACTTACAGTTATAGGCTGATAAGTTTATTTCATAAAGGTGAAGCACCTTATTGATGAGAATTAGAAGAATCAACTTTTTGAGATAGTTTATCATAAACCAATTATTTATGCTGCATTACTGCAATCTCGAATAGATTAAATGCAACTTTTATCAAATGAATATCTTTTGGAGCTTCCAAAAATTTAATCATGTGCTTTTTCCGTATACTATCTAACTAAGGTCAACGGATTGTAAGAATTTGATTCTTGGTGCGTCTTGTGATTCTCTTTTGACACAGATTCATCGCGCTGTAGACCTGAACTTTGGGGTTTATAATAAGTTTGTCATGTAAGTTGCAATTTACAATGCATTGTGACGTGTGGGTGCCTCTCTATTTGGAAACTACATACGAATTAAGATTGGACTGCACCAATGGGTTTGTACTATGAGACATTTTAAAATTTTTTGATCCTGGTCAACCTCATTTACTTCTATATTAAAAAAGTTATTTTGTTGTTTGGTTTTCTTTCCTAGAAAAATCATTATTACTACAAATTCATCAATAAAACGCTGGGGTTTTTTAAAAGCACGTTTTGGTATTGTCGCATCTTTGTTTATGCATGCGCAATTTTGCTAAAATATTTATTAGACACGAGTTAGAGCAAATGTCCCAATTTATATATATTAATCTACGACTATGTGCAACTATATGCAAGACAGGTATTCGACTTAGTTTGATGGTTCTGATCTGACGAGAACAGAAATGTTTGTAAATGTAGATCGTCCAGGCTGGTATAATCCAGAGAAGGACTGTTTTTGTTGCTGTTGACTCAAAAACAACAAAAACAGTCCTTCTCAGGACTATACCAACCTGGACGATCTACATTTACAAACATGTAACGATACTCCCGGGTTCAAACCATTTACTTTATTGAGAACAGAAATGGTAAAGAAATCAAAATTTAAGACACCGTTAACTCAAAGATCGTCACATTAATTGTAAATTTTCCAGACTTTGTTGTATTGTTTTCTTCTTCGCGTGTTTCAACACCTGTGTATAAAAATACTAGGAAAAAAGATACTCAAAAGAAATCAGACGGAAAGTTTTTAATGCAAAATATTATATTCATTTTCAAGTTGTCGCATCTTGCGTTGTCTTCATATGATAAATAATGTATTGTCTTGATGCGTGACTTTCGTGACTGTTGGAGTGGGGGTTTGCAACGTGCAATTACTGACAAACACGTGGTTGGTATATATATCTTGATGAATACTTTGGATGACGTTACAAAAGTAAGTCGTTCCAGACTTTTCCTGCGACTGTTAAGCTCCATAAAAAGAAGTATTTTGCCTACTTTAAACAGCCTTAAAAATGGAGCGTTTTGAGAAACTTATTTTACTTATACGGTGTAAATCACTCCTAAATTCAATGTTGCTGAAACTTACGAAACTTAAAAGGGGGGAAATGTTAAAACATTCATTATCGAGAATTGATTTACCAAAATTGCGCTATCTTTAACCTATTGATATATAACACCCTACACACACTCTACATACATGTTAGTCAGATCTCTCATTTGCTTGCTTTAAACTTCCATAAATGAATTTCCTCTATTGTGATTTTGATCAGAACAATAATGGTTGTGTTTGAATAGTAAAACTGTTGTTCTTGCTGTAATGAGTCGAAACATAAATAAGCTTAAATATTAAACTAACGTGAACAGAAATCTTAATAAAATAAAAGGGGGTTATTTTTTCACGAATCTTGCAAGTACTCGAAATTGCCAATGAAATTTTTTTGATGAATGAGTTGATTCTTATGTCTTTAGTTATACTGGATGACTATATTTTGTCGTTTACAACTGGCACAACAAAGAAAATTCATCGATTCACATGAAAGTAATAACAGCCTGACTAATACATGGGTAACTTCTTTTCTTTATTAAAATTTGGTCCACAGTCAGGTTCAGTGAGACAGCACTTGGAAGAAGGGAATCGCTGTATGAATAATGGCGACTATGAATCAGCAATTGAACACTATGTACAATGTTTGAGACCTCCAAGCAAGAATAGCGTCAAAATGATGGCATATTTTGGTACTGGTAACGCTTGTTTCCTCTTTGAAAAATGGGAGGAAAGATTGAAATGTTTTGGTAATTGCTTGAAGATTTCTTCAAAAGTGAAACGTAAATTTTTTCAACATCAATTTTATCTTGGCCTGGGAAATATTGATTCTACCACTGAAAGATTTGTGGATGACCTGAAGAAAAATAAAATGGTCTGTCTTTGTCATATTGCATTGGGAGGATTGAGCAAGCGGCTTGAAAATTATGAGAAATCTTTGGAGCATTATAGAAAAGGATTCTCTCTTACTGAATGTCAACACCAAGAAAATCAGCAGGAACAAAAAAAAGAACTAAAGAAAGTTGATGGTATTAACGTTATTAAAGATTTCATCGACCACAACATGAAGAACTTGTCAATTGTTACTTCAACTGAAATCATGAATGGAGTGTTAGTTTTTTATTGGGAATTAGCAGAATTGTTTGATAAACTTAAAAGACGGGACGAGGCAATCTGTATGTACAAAATATATATGGAGGGTAAGAGACAACCTTTGCTTCGGATTAACAATAAATTTAGGGTTTTTTAAATACTACATTATAATTGACATTACAAGTTTAAAGATTGGTAATCCAGGCATGTTCATTGTAGAAAAGTAAAGGTTTCTCAGGATTTTTGAAAATTTATTCTATTGAGCTTTCGACTCGGTTCTCATGAGGAGTTGAAGAACGCTCAATACAATAAATTTTCAAAAATCCGGAGAAACCTTTACTTTTCTACAATTAACATTATATGTACATAGTCGTTAGTTGCCAAAATATATGATGTGGATTTACCAGTACCAAAGCTTTGTTACGCCAGTCTGGAGACATGATGTATTATATCTAATAATTTATTTATCAGCTATATCCTCCACTCTTGCCAGGATTTGTTTCCTTAAACGAGTGGTTTATGATTTAACAATTACTATACAGTTTTACCGTTTTACCGTTACGGCAGTTGAACTATCACTGGCGTACAACAATTAATATAAATTTAGGGTTAGGAGCTTAAGAATTCTACCAACAATATACTTATGATAGTGAGCTTAAATGTTTAAAAGTATGATCGTGCTGGTAATCGAGATGAACAATTATACCTATTAATTCTCTAGTATGGGCTACCTCAATTTTTTCTGAACTGATTGCTTAAATGATTTATTTAGGAAATTGTTGTTATGACAAATTGTGCAGTCAGTACCTATTTGAATCGTTTGGGCAATGGCAGACGTTGAGTTATTTCTAGTTAATTGATTTTCTTGTTTTGATAATCTTTAAAAGTAATATTTTTACCCGATTTCAGAATTGCAGTGGAAATGCGTTGATGAATCAACTAAACATAATCAATTGTTTTTTAAAATGATTAAGTATGGACAAGATCCCAAAGTAAAAGTTGAATATATAAGTGATGTGCGTGTAATTTTCTCCGGAGAATTTTGCATCGGCAAAGGAAGTGATGGAACTCGTGTTTATCTTGGACTGGGAAAAGATGGCTATGGAAAAGCAGTGAAACGAATACCTCGTGATATCTGCATTAGGCTTACACAACAAGAAAAGAAAATTTTCAAAGAAATCATAAAAAAAAATCGAATGATGTTGTGAATTATTTTTACTTAGAAGAAGACATTACATTAGAATATGTTTATTTAATACTTGACCTGTGTGAAGAATCGCTGGTGGATTTTGTGCAAGCGGAATCGAATAGTTTCGCTTATCTTCAAAAATCGCTTCCCAAAATTCTCAGACAAATTTTAAAAGGCTTAGCTCATCTTCACAGCGAGCCACATCCTATTCTTCATCGAGATTTAAAGCCTTCCAATGTTCTTCGAGATGCCCAAGGCAAATTTCTGATAGCTGACTTTGGTATCAGTCGAATACTGAAAAGTGAATATAAGACATTTAAACACGGCCTTACTTGGGGATCTGATTATTGGGTTACTCCCGAATCGTATTGTCCGGATGATGAGTCGATTAAAAGGTCCCATTACAAAAAAGAGTCTGATAAAATGGTATGTTTTAGAATATAACAGTTTTCAAAATACATATAAATAATAATAAATATATGTCTTTAATATTTTATTCACGCTTTTAGTTTTTCAACGATTTTAGAGTGCAGGAATGGTGGCTTTTTATGTTGCAACAAAAGGGAAACATCCTTTTGGAGATCGAACGACAAGACTGCAAAACTTGTTGAATGGAAACCCTGTTGAATTGAAAAACATTGTAGATGTTTAACTTAAAGATCTTCTTTGGTGGATGCTACAATTGAGACCTGAACTCAGACCATCTGCTAACGAGGCGTTAAAACACCCTTATCTACAATCCGATGAATGTAAGTTTGACTTGATGTGTGATGCGGGAAACCGACCAGAGATAGAGATACCATATTTAGGTCATCCTCTCTACTCAGATGTCCATGAGCAGTTAAATGGGTTAAAAAATTGGAAGGATCGTATTGATCCTTAAGTCTTTAGTGGTTTCAATGTGGGACACTACGATGCTACATGGTTAGGTTGTTTGCAATTTATACATAATGTTCACCAGCATTGGAATGATGTACCTTGTCTAAAACGGCTTCAAAGTGATAGTAATTATAGAAAGTATTTCTTACAAGTTTTTCCAGAGCTTCCTCTGTTGGTGAACAGAATTATAAGATTAAATGAATGAAAGTCAAAACCAGATCTCGAAGAACACTTTTCAAGTAAGCTACAAACCTTTGGAAATTTTTTTTCGTTTTGACCGTATAGCTAAATTAGTGTTTCTTTTAAACAGTCCCTCAAAAGAAACATCACGCAATAGAAATTTAGTGGTCTTATGATCGCCGGAAGATCTGTAACTGCATATTGGGTCATCCTTAAATTGTAAATCTTAAGCTGTGATCGAAAATTTACCATTTGATGAATTGAACTTGAACTTAATATGGACTGCAGAAGGTCGATAATTGGTTAGTATTCGTAAATGTAGGATATGCTTTATTAAGCTCTTTTGAAATCCAAATAATCTATTTTTTTCTACGTATTATAAAATGTATTTATGAATATGATCCCTGCACAATTATCGATCTTCTGCGGTTTCTGCTTAAGAAATATAACAACAAAGTCCAATAGGTATCACTAGAGATAACTGGAAGGATGGTAAATGGAAAGAAGGTGCACATAGAAATAATCAGTGAAGCAATTTTTCACTTAATACTTGTTTATTTGTACTTTAACTACGAGTTGCAACTTGGCGAATAGTCATTTAAGTTGTAATGATTTACAATGAGAGTCTGAGAAATTGCTATGCAAATACAAAAAATAAAGAAAATTAATTAAGAATGCTTAAGAAATTTATATATTTGAATTATATTTTTTGGTCTCCTGTACCATTTCCGGTAATTTTTAGATTTAATTGACGAGACCAATATGTTTTTTATATTATGTTTTGCTTTCATCTAGCATTGACTGGACAGAACTTTCGTATTCAACATCAAAATGAATTAAAACAACAATTATTATACAGTTTTACGTTAACTCAGAAAAATAAAATGTAGGTTTAAGCTGATCCATCCAGTGAAGCTAGTTTCCCAAAATATAAAGGAAAATATCCTTTGACAAGTTGTGAAACTAGAACGCTAGTTAGGGGTGGGTAAACATGCATATATCCAGGGGTGGGTAAATATGCATACATTTGAAATAAACATCTCAAACAAAAGAAATCAGCAGCGCAGAGCTGAATATATACCCCCCAATTAACGTTCTAGTTTCGACCCTGCCTTTAACTAGGATCGGAAGTACTGTTATTTTACTGTTATAATATTTTTACAATTCCGATCCTCGCTGCAGTAGAGTAACTTGGAGCTTTTTTATCTGATGGTAATACATTTACGTCAGTTTCAGAATTACACTTGCAAAAATGGAAATTCATCGGTGAATCAAAAAAACATAAAGAATTGTTGTTAAAACTAACTGAGTATGGACAAGATCTTAACGCTGAGGTTAAACATTTGAACGATATACGTGTAGTTTTCTCGGAACAGTTTTTACTTGGCAAAGGAAGTGATGGAACACGTGTTTATCTTGGACTGGGAAAGGATGGTTACGGTAAAGCAGTAAAACGAATAATTCGTGATAACTGCATTGGGCTTGTACAACAAGAAAAGAAAATTTTGAGTGAAATCGAAGCAAAGGGCTCGAAGTATGTTGTAAATTATTCTTACTTAGAAGACAGTGTAACAGAACATGTCTATTTAATACTCGACCTGTGTGAAGAATCACTGGAGCATTTTGTGGAGTCAAAGAGTTTGGCTTATCTTCGAAAATCTCTTCCCAAAATTCTCAGATACATTTTAAAAGGATTAGCTGATCTTCATAGTGACTCATATCCTATTCTTCATCGGGATTTGAAGCCTTCTAACGTTTTCCGAGACGCACAGGGCAAATTTTTAATAGCTGACTTTGGTATGAGTCGAATTTTGAAAAATGGATCTAACACATTAAAAAGTGGCACCAAAATGGGAGCTGGGTATTGGATTGCTCCTGAATCATTTTGTAAAGATGAAGATTCGGTTGATAAAGCACGTTACAAAAAAGAGTCTGATGTAATGGTAGGTGTAGAAATGTAAGGTTTGCAAACCAAACTTAAATTCAATATTTTGACATTTCATTCACGCTGTTACGATTTTAGAATGCTGGAATGGTGGCTTATTTTGTTGCAACAAAAGGGAAACATCCTTTTGGAACTCAAGCGACAATATCGCCTAACTTGTTGAATGGAAACCCTGTTTTCTGGAATGAAATTGATGATGTTAAACTTAAAGATCTTCTATCATGGATGCTACAGGTAAAACCCGAACTACGACCAAATGCCACCGAGGCGTTAGAACATCCTTATCTACAATCCGATAAAAGAACTTTGATATGCTGTGTGAGGTGGCAAACCAACCAGGGATGGAGATACCGTATTTAGGTCATCCTCTGAACTCAGATGTGTGTGAGCAGTTAAATGGTCTAAATAATTGGATGGACCGTATTGAACCTGAAGTTTTTAATAATTTCAATAAAAGTCAATACGACTCCACATGGTTGGGTTGCTTAAAAATTTTGCAAAACGTTCACCAGAATTGGCATGATGAACTTCGTCTACAACTGTCATTATATGTTAAAGATGGAAACTATCAAGAGTATTTCCTTAAAGTTTTTTCAGAGCTTCCTCTGCTAGTAAACAAAATGAAAAGGTTGATTAAATGGAAGTCAAGTCCTGATCTTAAAGAACACTTTTCAAGTAAGTTACAGTCCTAGAAATATTTTTTCATTTTTATTGATGGATTAATTTAAGGTAGTGTTCCTCATTTTTCACAATGCCATGTGTAAAAATTTCAAGTGAATACAGTGGAAGTGTAAACTTTTTTGGTTAGATTCATCGTAATTTAGTGATATATTTCTTTATCAACGTGTCAATATTATCAAACATTTAGCTTTTTCAACTTGGACGATTTAACCCCAGCAGTTCTATGTATGGGTATTAAAGCACATGTGTTATTTTTGAATTGTTCAACTATACATAAAATGCATATGGTGTTAAGCAATAAGTGTGTGTTGTTTAACTGGTATTCATGAATACAAAGAGAATTTCTTTTTATTTAAACTTTGCTGTCTGTAGCGACATAGCAAAGCGTTGATGTTAGTGCAAAGCTAAGCTTTGTTTTTGTTACTACATGTTCACTTTCTAAAAGGCCTATAAAACTTGAATTTGCAAAAGCAATATATTTTTACACAATCCTTTGCCAGCAAATAGTTAATAAAATACAAAAAAAAACTCAGCATGAAAGTCCGTCTTACTCAATATTTTTTAAATAAATTTAAACTTCTTGATTGCTTCAAACGATGACACTCATATAAAGATTCATATTTAAGCAAGCCACATCCCATGGGAGAAATAACCAACGCTAGCAATTTTAATTTCAATCAATCACTCCTCAAATGGAAGCTATGTTGCTTTTATGAAAGAAAATAAAGCGTTTAACCGGCATAAAGTCACTGGCTTAGCAACTAAGAAAGATGCAAGATGATTCATTTCACGAGAAAACATGAGCCCAACAATATTGACCTGCTCACCGCTGTGTGACTTCATAGCTCAGTGGTCAGAGCACTGCACCGGCACCGCAGAGGTCATGGGTTCGAATCCCGTTGAGTTACCTGATTTTTTCAGGTCCTGAGACGATTGCTTAAATTGTCCAGCTAAGTGCGAAGATCATATCTCATTTAATGATTCTTTTCGTAAGAAAATTGCTAAGTTCGTGTTAGAAATTGTGTTCCTTAGTCTCCAGAGCAAAATGGTTTGACAGAGATTTTGAATCGGACAGTAATGGTCATGGAATAAGGATGATAAATGACAAAACTTCCTTTGGTTGTCTTACAGATGCAAGGACAAGTATGACCCCGCCTAAAAAAGAGATTTGCTATAATTTGCGATCAACGCTAATCTTTTTCGTTATCATCGATCGAAGATAGAAGGGATGACTTACTAAGAATTTTGTTCGATCTATTGTGGACATGATTACAAAAAACAGATGATCCAACTAAAGGCATTGAGCAACCGGATGAGCCAAAGGAAGAAACAGAAATTCAATCAGCATGAAAAAGGGCCACAAAATTGATCATGGAAAACTTACGCAGTTTAGGACAGTTAAGGCAACCAAACGTCCCTATTCCATGTAGAGATGAATCATATACTTAATGTTTCAATCAATCACATCAGAAATTGATGAGCCCGAGAGCGTTCAAGAACCTTAAAAAGTATTCCATTCAATATAGAAAAGAAACTGTCATCTTCAAGAAAATTGAACGTTGGACACGGACTGGGAGCAAAAAAGGGGGTTGGTTGGCTCCCAAAAGGTTCTTAAAGTGAAACACGTGTAGCTATGACAGTTTATTGCGCAAAGTAAAATTATGCTTTTAAAATATTTAATCATGAACCACCAGAGTCCAGAATGAAATTTAAGAGTTGAGAGTAAAAGTCCGGTCAAAATTATTTACAAAGCTGTTGTATTCTTTTCGAGAATGAAAAACCTTTAGATATTAAGAAATTATGTTCTTCAAACGATAAATTTAGTGAGGTCAACATAAAGCAGCAGACATATAGTTTTGTGCACATTGAATTAAGCCATATATCATGCGTGCATGAAAAGAAAATTTTTGCAATTAATTTGTCTGCTTCCTATTCACATTTGAAACAGGCACTTATCCAGAACGATAATTGGGAGAGCAATATTCATATAATCATACGGCATGTCATGCATATATGAATATGCTTCCCTAATCGTCGTTCTAGCTGCGTGCCTAATATGAAACAGAGATGATTTTAGTTTCTGTTTGATATCTCATCATTTGTCCCTTGAAGTATTTCTCTTTTTTATTTTATGAACTTGTGTTGCGAAGAGTGGAAATACATTGGTAAATCAACAAAACATAAAGAAATGATTTTAAAACTAATTGAGTATGGAGGCAAGATTCCCAATGTTGAGGTCAAAGATATGAACGGTGTACGTGTAATTTTCTCAGAAGCCTTTTGCCTCGGCTGTGGAAACAATGGAACCCGTGTCTATCTTGGACTGGGAAAGGATGGCTACGGTAAAGCAGTGAAACGAATACTTCGTGATGAAGGCATCAATCTTGCACATAAAGAAAATAAAATTTTGAATGAATTAAGAGCAAAGGAATCGAAGTTTGTTGTCAATTATCACTACTTAGAAGAAGACAATGGAACAGAATATGTCTATTTAATACTAGACCTATGTGAAGAATCGCTGGAAGATTTTGTGCAATCAGAATCAAATAGTTTGGCTTATCTTCAAAAATCTCTTCCCGAAATTCTCAGACACATTTTAAAAGGATTATCTGATCTTCATAGTGGCAAAAATCCTATTCTCCATCGCGATTTAAAGCCTTTTAATGTATTCCGAGATGCACAAGGAAAATTTCTGATAGCTGACTTTGGTATTAGTCGAATATTGAAAGATGGAAGTAAGACAAGAGTAAGTAATGCTAAAAAGGGAACTCCGCATTGGATTGCTCCTGAATCATTTTGTACAGATAAAAATCAGAATGGAAAAGGACGTTACAAAACAGAGTCGGATGTAATGGTCGGTGTTTGCAACTTAAGTTTAAATTTATTTATATTTTAAAATTTCTTTCATCATATTACGTTGTGATTTATTTTAGACTGCAGGAATGGTAGCTTTTTATGTTGCCACAAAAGGAGACCATCCTTTTAAAAGCGAAGAGAATATATTGAAAGGAAACCCAGTTTGCTTGGACGAAATCAAGGATGCCACGTTCAAAGACCTTTTATCGTGGATGCTATACCTGAAGACAGGCCATCTGCCAACGAAGAGTTAAAACACCCTTATCTACAAACCGATGAAGAGAATTTTGATTTGCTGTGTGACGTTGGGAATCAACCAGAAATAAAGACATCGTCTCCACATTCTCTTCCCTCAAATCTTCGTGAGCAGTTGAATCTTTCAATAGATTGGATGGACCGTATCGATCCTGAAGTCTTTAAACATTTCAATAAACTTTCCTACGACTCTACATGGTTAGGTTGCCTAAGATTTTTAAGAAACGTTCGCCAGCATTGGTATGATAAACTTCGTCCACAACTGTCAACATGTGTTAAAGATGGAAACTATCAAGAGTATTTTCTTCGACTTTTTAAGGAATTGCCTCATCTAGTTTACAGAGCCATAAGATTGAGTGACTGGAAGACAAGACCTGTTCTAAGAGAAACATTTTCCAAGTAAGACACAGAAATGAGTTTTCATTTTCGATGACCAAGCTATAAATTAGGGGTCCATGACACTATATTTGTTATTTTCACTCTAGTTCTCCTCTTCATTTATTGTACTTAATGCATGTATGTTTTTAATTCTGTATATTTCCATTTCAAACATTTTTTAGACAGTGCACATCCTGTAAAACGTGAAGAAGGCAAGGGAAAGAAAAGCGAAGCTGTTATTGAATACCCTGATCTTAAAGGTAAATAGCTATGTAACAACAAACTAATGCTGTGTACGTGTCACTTTTCTTAAATATTCTACCAAAAACCGTAATCTCTTCACTTGTATCTGGTGCATCATTTTCTAACTTTGTGCAACTGAAAATAACGGTTCAAGCATGTGTGATAGTACTAGCAATAGTCAAAAATCTTTAGACGAGATTAACGATTTGTCAGATATCCAAAGATAGTGACGAGTACCTACGAATCATGGTGATTCAGAGACTTTAGCATATTTTTATCGTATGGTAAAAAGAAGCTTATAGCTTATTATGTTATCAAACTTGTTAAGAACACATATGCAATAGTAAATATTGCGTATCCTTTGCTTCAAGTCAGCAAATGCTTTCACGTCGTATGCATTAATGCTGCAATTGCGAATTTTCTTTGCATTATTTATCCTAAGTGTAAATGGTCAGATCAAATGACGAATGGAAAAACAAGAACATTATCGTTTTCATTTTAAAGCTAAATGTGCCACATCAATGAAATCTTTTTATTGTCTGCAAAAGAGGTTTATGGGAAAGCAATTGGCAAGAAGGAAATCAATGATACCACAATTCAAGATCCTCTTTTATGTATGTTTTAATTTAAGGCTCTTAGCAAGTTAGATTAAGTAACCAAGTTGGATATTACATGGCCAGATTGCTATGAATTTTCATTGGATTTTACAATGTTATATAATTAACTACTTTTTTGTCTTCAAACAACTAACGATCTAAAACTGAAGGCGAATGAAATTTAAATTTGATTTCCATACATCATGTTTCTTATGTAAAATATACAATAAATTTTAAAATGTCTAATTTAGTAATACATAGCATTTCTTCAAGTATAACAATGTATAACAATACATATAACTATATATAACAATATAATATGGATGTCATGACTTGTAACGCAATTAAGGAGTTGCTCGATCTGTGCTCAAAAGCCGTTGTACTTTAGCGTTATATAAGTCTTTCGTATGAGCTCCGAGCGTGAGTTCAATGTACTAGAACGCTATTAACTTTACGTACGTCACTACAGTACCACTGCAAAGGGTAAAAGATTGATACGCATAAAAAGAACAACTTATTGAATTGAAGAAATTGGTAATATTTGAATAAAATGACACTTTTATGTGAGGTTGTGATCATTTCCTAGTATTTCTTTTATTGCAGCTTTGAAATTGTTCAAAGAAAATCTGTGTACGTTGAGGTTAATGATGACGAAGTCAGAGTGGAATTTTTGTTGAATTTTTCTTTACTCAGGCTTAGTTGTGTTGCATTTTTCTTGAGACAAAAGATCGTATGTTTTAAGCCACAAGCTTGCCTTTATAAATTTCAGTCTTTTAAATACTTAGCCAGATCTGTCTCTTTCAGTCATTTGTTACTTTTTAGGTCAAGATCCACATTCTCAGTTAATTTCCATTGATTGTAATATTACATGTTTGTAAATGTAGATCGTCCAAGTTGGTATTGTCCTGAGAAGGTCTGTTGGTGTTGTTGTTGAATGACGTTTCGACAACCTTAGCGGTAGTCATCTTCAGAGTCATTTTTGACAAAAACAGTCCTTCTCAGGAGGCTAGGAGTGATTCATTACAATAAGAATTCAGGAATACATAGAATAGAAATGTAATTAATAGAAAAAATAGTTCATGGCTTCCCGTATAACATAACATGTGCTAAGATAAGGTCAATACTTCATGCAATAATATTATAGTGTAACATTACATAATCAATAATACTTCTTATTGCTAACACTCCCACTTAATGTGCACTATAAATGTTCTTTAAGAATTACGAATTCTTAAACTAAAATTTCTTTGACACCTAACATGTCTCGAAAGTTTTGGAATGCTTGCTTTGGTAAACTTTTCGTCATAACATCCGCTAATATCTGATCTGTACTACAGTATTGAACAATAATGGAATTATCGTTGACCTTTTCTCTAACAAAATGATACGCAACGTCAATGTGTTTAGTGCGATTGTGAAATCGTGGATTCCTCGAAAGTTCAATTGCCCCTTGGTTATCTTCGTTCAGTATAGATGGTTGATCTTGATTTATTCCAATATCCGCTAGTAAACGTCGTAACCATATGATTTCTTGTGTTGCATAACTTAGTGCAACATACAACATTTGACTCTGAAGATGACTACATGCAACATTTGACTCTGAAGATGACTACCGCTAAGGTTGTCGAAACGTCAGTCAACAACAACAAAAACAGTCCTTCTCAGGACTATTAACCTGGACGATTATCATTTACAAACATATAACAATACTCCCGGGTTCAAACCATTGACTTTATTAGTGCAACATACTCAGCTTCAGTCGAAGATCTTGCAACACAAGATTGTCGCTTGCTGCTCCAGCTGACGGTTGATTCGTTTATCTGGAACACGTATCCTGATGTAGATCTTCTTGCATTTACATCACTTGCCCAGTCAGCATCTGAATATCCAACCACTTCGCATGTTGAATCTTTGCTTTGAAAAACAAGACCATAATTGATTGTACCTTTTAGGTATCTCAACACTCTTTTTGCTCCCTGCAAATGCTCCTTTCCTGGCTTTGACATAAATTTTGAAAGAATACCTACAGCAGATGCCAAGTCAGGTCGAGTTGACGTTGTCACGTATGTCAAACATCCGATAAGTTTTTGATATTCATGAATATTTGTTGTGGTCTCTTCTTCGGGCAGATTCTGAAAATGTTTTCCAGGTTCTAACGGTGTTGAAACAGGTTTGCAATGTTCCATGTTGAATCGTTTCAAGATTCCTTCCAAATATTTTGATTGACTAATTGTCAATTTTCTCCTTTTTCTGTCTCGTTTGATCAGCATACCAAGGACATGTTGGACTTCATTTAAATCTTTAATTTTGAACTTTGATGCAATGGCTTTCTTCTCCACCTTTAGCATTTTCGTAGAATTGGAAAACAGGAGAATATCATCTACATGAATAGATAGTATCACGAAATTCACATTTCCATCTTGCTGTTTAATAGATTTCACGTACAGACATGGATCACAGCTCATTTGATTGTATCCTTTTGATTTCAGGTATGAGTCGATGGCGTTGTTCCAACATCTGGCTCTGACTGTTTTAAACCATAGATGCTTTTTCTCAATTTGCAGACATAGTCAGGATGTTCCTTACTAATATAACCTTCAGGTTGTCGCATATAAATTTCTTCATTCAAATTTCCTTGTAAAAACGCTGTTTTGACGTCCATTTGGTGAACTTCCCAGTCTTTTGCATTCGCTAATGCGAACAACGATCGAACAGTTGTATTTCGTATGACGGGTGAAAATACTTCATGATAGATAGTGGACACCTTCAGCTTGTGAATAGCCTTGTGCAACTAGGCGAGCTTTATATCTCTGTATTTCTCCATTTTCGTCTCTCTTCACCTTGAAAACCCATCGGCTTCCAACAATATTCCT